ATAGCATCATCGTCTACTTCGCCGTCCAGACTTGTGTAGTCACGATGAGGTTCTGTTGCATCTGAGTTGCCTGTCTCGAGTTTAGATTCAAAAAGTGAATCAGGGCTGGAAGAACGTGGCGGCCGCCGCGCTCCGAACAATGAATCGTGATCGGAGTTGGCCAGGTCGGACTGGATAGTGTTCTGGCTCTCTGTCGATTCTGGCGGCGTCACGTTTGCAGGGCGCGAGTGTACGGGCAGAAACAGTTCTTCATCGCTATCCATCGAGACCGTCTCCTCCTGATCTTCGGCCATGGCAGCACTTTCAGCCATTTCCTCGATGCTGTTCATGACCTCATCGGCATCGGGGTTGTCGTAGCGAGCCTCATCATCGTCATTGATAGCCTCGGTCATGGCTCGCAACAGCGTTTGGCCTCTCATGTTGTGTAAGCCACCCGGGTCAGTCTCGTTCTCCATTGACTGTAGATGGCCGTTGTTGACTACGACGGTCATGGAGTTCATGTCGATCTCATCGCCGATGCCGGAGAAGTCGTGCGAGTACTTTTCAAAAATCGACTCGAAACGGGACTTCAGAAGCAGATCATTGCGCTTTCGTCTGCCACCAAGGTCTTCGTCCAGCCGATCGTCTGAGGGAAACATGGAGAGACGGGGTCTCTTTCGAAACGGTTCGTCCATGTCGAAGGTATCCATGGCGCTAATCAAGTCAGACAGAAGCAGAATGGATTGACTGTAGAGGCTGGTATGGAAGTGAGCAATCGAACAATGAGGGGAAGATAAAGTGAAGTGTTCGTGGTGCGCGTCACGCGTCCCGGTCGCGATCTCACCAACGTCACTTGCAGTTCACTCGACTCTCACAAGTCTCATCAAGACATTCAATCCCTGGTAAACCGACATGGCTGAATACTGCCAGAACTGTCGACAGCCGATTGACGTTGACCCTTCCCTAGCACTGCTCAACCCGGCTTCGTTTGATCTGCTTGTCGGCACTGCAGGCAAATCTCATTCGAATAGCGCGACTACGACCATCTCGCGCTTGAACTACCCACAGGAACGCAAGGATCTCTACGACCGTGTTTCTGCTCAACCAAATTCCCCCGTCCATAAACGCTCTATCCCCGCTCCTCAAGATGGGACGCGACTTCGAAGTGGTGGCTACTCCAAGGGCAACGCTGATATGTCGTTCATCGAGATCACACAGTCGCAAGTTGCTCTAACAGATAGAGATCACCGTGATCAAGCGAAACGGAAAGCTAAAGATCAGCGCAATGGTATTGCCGAAGGCCACGAGGATCACAAGGAAGGCGATCTGATGTCTGCAAAGAAAAATCAAGTCGAGGACCTCTTCGCTATCCTCTCCTCCCATTCGGACATTGATCATCCAATGTGCCAGGAGTGCACTTCAATAATGTTGACCCACTATGCGACGCGGCTCGGCAGCGCCAACAGAGAAAGAGATGCTTATGCTGGCTTCCTCAAGTCCACTCAACAAACTGTCTTCCCAGAGGGCCAGAAGCAGTCAGATGCAAAAAAGACGGACACATCACTATACGAGCAGCTCGAACAGACAGAACTCGAACTCAAGAAGCTGGAGGCAGAGATAGCCGATCTGGAGGACCAGATACAGCAAGAAGAGTCGGAGGAACAGGCATACTGGGCTTCACGTAACCTCACGGACGATACCCTATATCGAACAATGACGCACCTGACCTTTCTCAGAGAGAAACAGACTCATGATTTCCAGCACCTCGAGCGGCTGCAGCGCACAAATGTCTATAACGACACCTTTTGCATCGGCCATGACGGCTATTTTGGGACCATTAACGGTCTGCGCCTTGGTCGTCTGCCAAACCAAAATGTTGACTGGTCCGAGATTAACGCAGCATGGGGTCAGACCCTGTTGCTTTTGGCCACTGTCGCAGAACGGCTCCGATTCACTTTTCAAGGGTATCGTTTACGTCCCCAAGGCAGCACTTCCCGAATAGAAAAGTTGGAATATCCTCAACTGTCTCCCGATGCTCAGAGGCAGCAGACCGCAGGCCGGGATCGTGGACTGCACTCGGCCTCAGCGAACCCTGAACCCAAGGTCACACCATTGGACCTGTTCAGCAGTGGTGACTTGGCTATTGGGCGTCTCCTCAATCATCGTCGTTTCGACAGCGGCATGGTGGCGTTCCTCGACTGCTTAGGACAGCTTGGAAACTATGTCGAAAAGACATCCACCACCGACGTCAGCAACACGAAAACCTCCATGAGAACAGCGGTCATTCGCGGCCCGTCAACAAAAAGGGTCCTACCATACACAATAGAAGGCGATAAGATTGGTGGTATCTCCATTAAGCTTGGTGTTGGCTTTCATCAGGACGAAAACTTCACCAAGGCTTGCAAATATGCCCTGACTTGTTGCAAGTTCCTGCTGGCTCATGTCAGCAACCTTGAAAGCCAGAAGGAAGTCTGACCGGTTGAAGTGCTTGAGTCCTGGTGACAGACGAAGGGTATCGGCTGTTTCGTTCCTTTCAGCTTGACAGCTCGCTGTGTTGAAACCAACAAGCGAGGTTCCCACAGTAAGCTAGCAATCTTCGCATGATGCAGACTCTCTATGGCGATGCACTTGTGATTGGATGTGCACATTCTTTGAACCCATTTTCTGGTGATCGGGCCGAGGGGAGCAGTTTTCAAAGCATTGGTTTACCGATAGGGATCTCCAGACCACATGCTACAACCCTAAGTAAGAATCAGGCATCAGCCAAAGTCCAATGCCTGTGGCTATGCCTGCTTCAGCACTTGTCTCGATCATGCTCGATCACCGAGGGGCCGAGTGGTCGCTCGTGAGATGGGTCACTGGTGGTCTTGAGCCTGGGGAATCTCGGGTAGGCCATTCCACTGGCTTGCTTTCGGCAAGATTCTGCACCTAAAATAGACAGGTGATATGAAACTAGTGTATGTGTTTGCCCAGGTGCGTGTTAACGATTGCAGCTAACAAACTGACCATGCAAGATGGCTGAAGACTCAGACTCTGTTGCCTGCATTCAGGCGCTCAGTACATTTCTCCCGACTCCAAGACGAGCGACATGGTCACTACGGCGTCAACTTATGTTCTGTGGTCCTCTAGTCTTACAGTCGAAACCGTTTGAAACGGTCCACAGCCGACCGATCTACGCCGTGACCATGATCGTGGCTCTGGACTGTCATAGCTTTAATGGTGTATGAACCGACCCGGTTACACAATTCGCCGTGGCCCCAAACACCCACCATCGCGTCCACTCCAAAGGCTCTCTACTGCCCACTAGAGGCCCGGCCTCATCCCGCGATTCCATAACCCATTCCCAGCCTCGTGCCTTCCAGTGTGTTGTTTTGCGTCAATGCAGCAAAACACACCTGCGGCAATTCGATCAAGAAGCCGGTAAAGAACCTGCATAAGACCGTGAGGATGTACATCGGCGCGGCGCAGCCAACGAGAGTCATGCAGAGGAGCAACATCCCCATGAGGAGGGTGCGCGCGGTGAGGATATTGAACGGCCCAGCTCTGTCGTAGATGATGTTTGGCCCGGTAATATGGCGGAAAGGAGACGTCGACCCCATGGACGCCGACGGGAAAAAATGCCCTGAAGTCGGAGGTTAAAGTTTCGATTCTGGGCGTGATCTGGGACGCAGAACAGCACGGTCGTCGAGCCGATGAAGCCGAGCAGCGTCGAAAGGGCGAAGAGCATGTGTGGCGTCCGTGACAGCAGAGGCATCCATCGATGCACGAGGTTTTGCGGGCAGGATACGCAGCACGCATGGTCGGTTTGGGGCTGCTACAATCGGAGCTCGCTCTCCTTTTCCATCTCCGAAGGCAAACCGTGGTTGAACAGGTGGTAATCTTGCTCTAATCCACCCATTCCAACTTCTGTACTCGATCTATCTCACAAGGTCGCCCGGGCTATGCTCACCCTGTTGAGCATATCCGAGGTTGATAATGGATGAATTCATTGATGTCGCCTCATTTTATTGGGCGGGTCGTAGCTCATGCGCAGGTCGGACCGCAAAGCGAAAGCGATCACTTTGCGAGCGGAACCAGATCATCATTGTGTTCGCCGAGGTCGCAGGAGACTGAGCAGGTGCAAAGACCTGGGTTAGAGCGTTGCATTGCAGCTTGACACCGTCCGGACGGCCTTCAGGTCATTGTCGACCGGAGCGAGTCAGCTCCACGGATCCATGGAGCTGGCTGGGGGTTCAGAGATCCGACACGACGTCTGTACAAGCATTTAGCAAGCCCTGTGTCCCATGGACGAGAAACCGATGCAGGCTGCAATAGTCGACGCCAGGGACAGAAGGCTAGCCATTCTGGGTGTGTCAAAATGGCGCTGTGATAGGCCGGCCGTGGTTATCAGGACCATCGCTCACACAGTAGGAAGTCGTGGAAGCACGGAGACAAATCACCCCCCTCATCCAGGTGTGTTCGCGGTCTACCTATTGGCGTAGAGGTGGCAGAGGCTGGCGCACCCATGTCCCTCCCGTACTGGGCAACTGACTAATAGATAGGCGTGCCAGAAGGGGTAGTAGTTCGAATTGTAGCCGGCGACCGGCTGTTCTGGTGCATGACTTGACGAGTATCGTGTCTCATCCGAGGTGGAGACCTGCGACGTTTTACTCATCAGTCGCCAGCATGCATCAGGTAAGCCACGGGTCTTTTACAGTAGTACGACAATAGCCACAACGGCCAGCTCGAAATGGGGCTGTAGCAATGATTGGTGCTATTGCGGCCGACGCCACCAGCACATTTACAACTCTGAGGATTGAGCGCGTTTGACCCAAAGATACCAGGGGATGGCGTAGTATTCGCTCGACGGTGGATGGGTGTGACCTCGAATTAGTGACTTGTTCGGTTGACGCTGTCGACACACGGTTTCCTCTGCCTTCCACACCTTTATCTGTTGATCTCTGGTTGCTGCTTGGCTCGGTGCTTGAAAGTGATCACGACCGCCATTGCTCGAGCAGAATGACCCGTTTCACCTCTCTATCATGGCTGCCAGCACTCAACCGGATCGTGAACTCCACTTCGTGGCCGTTAGAGGCCAGAAGTCACGTTCAAGCTCGGACAAGAAAGATCGTAGCTCGGTACGTGCGTTTGTGATGCGAGACTACCTGAGGCAGAAGAGCGACCCGACATGGAGCTTCACTCCGGCAAAGGTCGCTGACCAGATGAGGTCGCACATATCACGCTTTCGAACAACCAGGATCACATCAGCAGCAGGGCCGAGGAAGAGGAAGATGGCAATGGCACTGGAGCGAAGGGCTGAGAAGAGAACCAGGACCCAACGTCCACTAATCCCTGCACCTGTTGGCGTGGACGAGCGTAGCTCAACGCGCTCATCACTCCACGACTTAGACATGACGGATCCCTTCTGCACGTTGGAAGTCGATCTCTCGGGCTCGGATTCTCAAAACCTTCTCCAGTACTATCACACTGGGTTTTGGGCCAATTCGTACGCCTGCAACCCCGAAGCCAGATGGATTTCCGTCGCGCTGATGGACCCCGCCATCATCCACGCCACCCTCAGCCTAGTGGCGATCCATCGAAGAGATTGCTTCTCTATTGACCTGTCGAACGTCTACTTCAAGCATAGAGGCGAGGCCATGAGGATCGTTGCCCGCAGACTGAGTAACCTGAAGGAATCTCTAAGTTATGGGACCATTGGCGCGGTGGCTCTGCTTTCCAGCTCAGACAACCATTTCGAATGGTCCTCCGAGGCCCAATCGACGCACTCTCAGGGGTTGGGCCATCTGATCGCACTGCGTGGCGGCATGGAGATGTTGAGCTCGAATCGACACATTCAGAGGGTGGCAGGATGGGCGGACCTGCTCCAGTCCGCCATGCATGGAACATGCCTCCAGGTTGAAATGCCAGCCGCAGTGCAGGAATCCTCGGCAGAAGACATCGACCTGAATGTTAGTGATGATGAAGCAGGCGAGCTGCTGACAGGAATCGTGCTGCAAGATCTGCCCCCAACAGTAGGCGACACGGTTCAGCAACTTCGGATCCTGTCGTCAGTGAAGGTTTATCTGCTAAGGGAGCGCCATGAAGAGTTGTGTCGTGTCTTCAGCAACCTGCTCTGGAAGCTCGAACATTCCATCCTGAGTCGATCGCAGAACCCCCAGCTCACCATCGGGACAGAGACAGGCTCACGCGATGATACGCTCAAACAGGATCTGATTTCCAGCGTTGTTGACACTGCCGCGCTTATTCTCTCCTACCTGACCCTCCGAGACCTTGCAGCCCCCATCGTGTATAGAAGGCTCAGCGGGCGGCTACAGGGACATCTGGAGACCTTGCTCCTATTCCTCGAACAGGAAGGTGGTCTTGGCGTGGAAGAGGACGAATTCGCCATTCTCTTGTGGTCATTTTTCCTCGGATGGCGAGGATCGAACAAGGATGAGACGCAAGCTTGGTTCACGGGTCGACTTGCACAACTGTGCTGGAGACATGGAATTCTTTCCTACGAAACAGTCAGGGCAAGGATTCAGTCGGTGATCCCTCAGGCCCACGGACTGGTGGACGTACCAGAGGAGTTTTGGACTCAGACAGAAGATGTCATCTGGTCGGATATGCTCTCGCTCAACAATGTGGGCTTTGGGGCGGTATAGTTCAGGACGATAGCCATTACTCGTGCGTCGTGTATGCATTTCACTGCTTCCCATCAATAACAAGAGGTTGAGAGACACGTAGTTTTCGACACGGTGCTATATCCTTGAAGTCGTCCGCAGAATTATAGAGGGCAAGAAGCGTACTATGCTGGCAGATGTAATTGACTGCCGGCCACTTTACGCGATGCGCGTCTCGGTTTCGCGTCCATCGCGTCATCCGCCGCATGCCACACATTGAACGCCTTCCTGGTAGCCAGGCAATTAATTACACAGCCCGGAGTACATCACTGCCCGTCATAGCCGTTATCACTCGCCGTCTCCTCAAACATGTCTCGCTCTGGGACCCTCCAAGCCACCAAACCCTCCGACTTCGAAAAGCAACGCCTCGCCAACATCGCCGAGCGCGACGCCCTCCTCAAGAAACTGACCCAAGAAGCCCAGTCCGCAGGCCTGTATACAAAGCCGCCAGTCTTACAGAATGGACAGAAACGCACGGCGACAGCAAAATCCAAGGGACCTCCAGCCAAGAGGGTGAAAAAGGAAGCCGCCGAGATCGTGCCCCGGCGGACGAGTTCTCGACTCGCTGGCCTACAGGCGGACAGTGAAGTCGCGAAACAGAAAGCAGAGGTCGAATATGAGAAGGCCAAGGAAGTCGAGCGAGCACGACGGCAGCGCGTGACGGGCGATTTGTCTTTCTCCGGGACAGACACAGACGGCACAAGCCTGATTGGCACCGATGTACTCCTCAAGGGCGTGGCGACGCCGTACGCACGCACATTCGATGAAGAGCAGATCCGCGAGACGAGCGACAAGGATCTCAAGGCCCTCAGGGAGAGGATGAGCGGCCTGCAGCTCTGGGATGCGTGGGAGCCGAATCGCATCAAGATCACCCCTGAGAGAATCTACAGCATGGCGTTTCACCCTACAGTCGCCAAACCGATTGTCTTCGCGGGCGACAAATTAGGCACACTGGGGATTGTAGACGCATCGCAGGGGAAGGATCGTGCTACCGGTCTTAAAAAAGAGGATGATGCTGAAGACGAGGACGAGGACGTCGATTCAGATCCCCAGATCACGCACATCAAGCCACATACGAGGACCATCTCGGCGATGCATACACACCCGTCCAAGCCCGAAGCGCTCTACACGGCGTCGTACGACTCGTCGATCCGGGTAACTGACCTCAAAAAGTCCCTGGCCGTGGAAGTGTACGGACCTTCCTCTCGCGAGGACGACGAACCCGTCTCCGGCGTGGACATGTCCTCTAGCGATCCCAATACTCTGTACTTTACGACCCTGAACGGCGCGTTCGGGCGGTATGACACGCGCGCCGCGCCCAGTACGGTCGAACTCTTCCAGCTGTCGGAGAAGAAAATCGGGGGCTTCAGCTTAAATCCGGTGGTGCCGCACTACGTGGCCACGGCGTCGCTCGACCGCTTCCTCCGATTGTGGGATCTGCGCAAGATGACGAAGAAGATGCCCACGCTGGTGGGCGAGCACGAGAGCAGACTGAGTGTCAGCCACGCGGCGTTCAATACCGCGAGCCAGGTCGCGACGACGAGCTACGACGATACGATCAAGATCCATTCCTTTGGCGTGGGTGCGCGTGGCACAGGCAAGGCGGCCGCTGCGGACCAGTCCACGCAGTACATGCACCAATGGGAGGCTGGCCATCAACTGGCCGACGAGGCCATGAAGCCCGAGGTCGTCGTCCGACATAATAACCAGACGTGAGTTCCCCGCGCGTGGGCCTGGAATTTAATCCCCTTGGCTTTATTACAGACGTGAGCGGAGCTGAGCTGAACTGACTTGATCATGCAGCGGCCGGTGGACAACTATCCTCAAGCCCCGCTGGCAGATGTATCCCATGGACAATATCCAGAAACTGGTGGTGGGCAACATGAACCGGTAAGTTGAGGAGTTGCTATCGCTGCCCGTTATCTAAACCACGCCATTCTCTGACCTGGCGTCAAGATTCGTCGACGTCTACTCTGCCAACGGCGACCAACTCGCCCAGCTCGGCGGCGAGGGCATCACGGCCGTGCCTGCCGTGGCGGTATTTCATCCTTCCAACGACTGGATCGCCGGCGGCACTGCGAGCGGGAAATTATGTCTATGGATGTAGATGGACATGACACGACAGGTTGTGGATTGCAATTCGACCTCGCTAATTACAGGACCCAGCATATTTGGATAGAAGGGGCATGGCCGGCGACGAGGTCCGCGGAGAGGAGAGTCGGTCGGTCGGTCGGTCGATGCAGTTTCTTTTACTGTAATAGTACAGTATAGTACAACTAGTATACGTGGGGAACCCCAGTCCCGGGATCTATTGTTGCGTACCCGTAGTGGTTGATTGAATGATGAATGAGCGAATGGATGGATGGAAGAGATGCATCATGCGTATGTACTCGTATCAATGCATGTTGATCGCGGCGTCTCGTTCTGGTAAAGCATGAGCGGTGAAATCAACAGCAGTACCTCGTGTAGTACCTCGTGTACTTGAGTTCAGTTAATACACATGACGACACGACACATTACTGTACGTTGCATGGCGCCACGGGGGTGCCACGGCTTGAGATGATGAAATCGCACACTGCCGCGGGTAGAACGTACCATGGAGGTAGGCGAGGGTATGGCACAGAGCATACTAATAGTAACTGTACTTAGTTACATCGCTTCTATAGAGAACGACCCAGGAACTTGTCCCTGTTATTTAATATACTACTCCGTACCGTCGGAGGAATAGAATCAACGGATCGATCTGGCTGCCTACGTCCATACCTACGTAGATACATATCATATGAGGTCGATGCTCCCTCCTGTCCCTCTTCCACATGATAATCATACAATACAATATAATACAGTCGGGGTGAGCAGACCGCGGCTCACAAAGTACCTACCTAGGTAGGTACCTAGGTATGAAGGACAGTACACAAGACAACACGCTCGCTGCTCGCTGTTCGCTTGCTCGGTTCTGGTTACAGTACAGTAGCTCGGCCATGCCAGCCCTGCTCTGGTCTGCTCTGGTATGCTCTGCTCTGGTCTGCTCTGGTCTGCTCTGCTCAACCTTGCTCCGGTCCAGATCAGTCCGATCAATTCAAGTCATTTGGTTCTCCTCGGCTCTGGTCAAGTCAATTGTCAAGTCAAGTTGAGTGGTCAACCACTCCCTCCCTCCCTCCCTCCCTCATTCGCCCCCACCCCCCAACGTAACAACCACAAATCCCACCTCCCCCATTTCATTCTTCAACGGCGTCCAATGCGATACAAACTTCTCAAACCCCATGTATCGGCGCGTACAGAGCACGACGTCCAAACTGATAGGACTGCCGTGTTTGAGCGCGGCGCGTACCCGCGTCTTGAAGTCCGAGCCGAGCTTCGAGCCCGCGGAGTGGGTGGCTAGGAAGCGAAAGATGTCCGTGCCGATGATTTGGTCCGAGCCTGGGCCTGGGCCTGGGCCAGAGTGTGAGTAGGACTGGGACTGGGACTGGGATTGGTGTTGGTGTTGAGGGGGCACTTTGGAAAGAGTATGAACGTTGGGGTTGTTGCGGGTTTGAGGGATTGGTTTGCTGGGGAATAGCATGCTCGCGACGCCGGGGGAGTGGAATGAGATGTAGAATGTTGTGTAGTTGATTATGAGGTACTAGTGGGGACGGAGGAAGTCAGTCAGTCGTTCAGAAAAAATTTGATATCGGAGAGGAGGAGAGCAAAGAACAGAGTAAAGCTTAAAATCAAGTCAAATCGCATACCATGACATAGCATAGCAGAGCATAACATGACATAGTGGCCATGCGTGGCCGTGTGACTGTGTGGCTGGGCGGTTATGGGTGCAACTCACCTTAGAATACGCCGTGTAGAACGTGTCCATCTGCTTCCGCAGATTCATCTTCTCGATCTTGTTCAGCAAGCCGTCCTCCATGCCTGGCGGCCGGTAAGGCTCCACCGGGGCTCTACTGCGGAAAGGGTTCTTGAACTTGGTCTTGAGGGACGAGGAGTTTTTCGATGCCTCCGGAGAGGTAATGCCGTTGACGGCGTCCTCGTCCGTGTCGTTGGTTTGGGCCAGCACCTTGAGCACGTCAGACGCGCTGTGGATAGTGGTGGAACAGTTGATCTGGCCGCCGAGGAAGAAGACGACGTTCCCCACGGCGTCGGACAGCGGGGTCGTGTACAGCAGGTTCCAGAACGGTTCGCCTGATTTCTTCTGGTTCAGGAGCAACTCGACGGATTCTTGACGCGTGCGGATGGCTTCGCGCAGCCTCTTGACAGCCGACGCATCCGTATTGCGGCATTGCAGGAAGCGGCAGTTTCGAGGGATGATCTCGTTGCGTGCGTAGCCAGTGACTTTCACAAAGCCATCCGAGGCATATACGATGGGGTTGTCGGCTTTGGCTGGGTCGGTCAGAACAAAGCAATCGCCCAGGCCGGCGTATTTGGCGCGATTTCCGGCCAGGGCTTTGGCAGCGCTCATGGTCATCTGATGACGCACAAACCGGGGATAGATGTCCATGGCGACGAGGCGTTCAATCTCGTTCTGTGAATCCACAAACACGGTTTCTAGCTTGGGGAGCGTCGAGGCCAGAGCGGCCTTGAGATCGCGGTTGACCTTGAGGAGCAAATTCTCGGGGATATTGATCTGGCTGTCGGCGTTCACCGAAATATAGTCGCGGTGGATCTCAAACATGGATGTGGCGACCTCGTTCAGGAGGCTGTTGTAGTTGTCAACCTTATCGAGGAACTCCATGTTCTCGGCGCATAGTCTCGACCGGCTGAATTTCAACAACTGATGGGCCGTCGTGGGATTATGCAGAACCACTTGGAAGACGTCGGCGGTGAAGAAATCGGGAAGCCGGTTGGCCGACGTGGTTGTGAGGCTGGTGTTTTGGGACGCGCGCGACACTGTCTCGGTGACTGAAGGCTCATATGAGCTCTTCTCTTCGATAGCCTCGAGGTTGAAATCGAGCTTGCGCAGCTGCTCTCGGTTCTCTCTGTCGCCATTTTGTCCGCTTGATGTAGGCAACTCGAAGTCGCGAGGTTCGGCAGCTCTTCGTCCTTGCGGAGTTCTTGTACCATGCTCAGGCTGCCCACCGTTTCTGCTATCCGTGGACTTGATCGTGTCGGATCGAGACTCCAGGCCCGGTCGCTGAAGTGGAAGGCTGAAGTCGGGATCGAGACCCATCGGTCCTCCGCTCACGCGATTGCTGGGAATGTGGTCATCTAACGTGTAGTCCCGGGTCAAGCGACTGCGCAGGCTAAAGGATACCACCGGCGGCTCCATTTCTGACCCAGGTTGGGCGGGGTCACCCGCTCGCGACAGATCTCAGTCAGTGACGGAGATGTGAAATCGACGCGCTTGGGCAATTCGATACCTGCGCTCTGGCTGGAGAGACAAGTGACACCTGCATCGTGCACGAGCTCGTCTCGGAGTAGGTTTGAGTAGAAGAACCAGAAGAACCCACCAGAGGGGAAGCACGGTAACCCGCCTCAGCTCCAAACGCGGGTCAGGTACCTTTCCTGTTTACACCCAGCCGGGTTATTGCGGACATCTAGGTTTCGCAACGGTGCAGGATGGCCGTAGTGGCAGACGGGAAGCGCTTCCGCAATGCACGAGAAGACCGTTTGGAAGGTGGACCAAGGACCTTCTGAAGAAAGATTCGTCTTGGCTGCAGATCCACGTTGGCTTTGGAAGGATCATGCGCGGCAAGAGTCGGTGGCGGCCCCAGTTGGACTCACATGGCATCCATGCGAGCAGGGTCTGGGCCACGGGCTATGTGCCCAGTGACTAGCACAGAGGCGTCACCACGGCTGATGAAGAGCTGGGAAGACCATCAGGGGAAAACAGGGGTCGGCATGTAATCTGCAAGACCAATAGAGTACTCGTATTCGTGCCGATAGGTCTCAGTTGGAGTCTTGCCATCGGTATTGCGGTCCAGTATGGCATTCTACCTCGTATTGGGGGCCAGCTCGACGAAAGAAGATTGCGAGTACATGTACCGTATGATGCGATGTCCGTCGAGTGTGGGGGATTCTAGAGATTGACTCCGCAAGCCGCTCTGAACCCTTTGATGATGGGAAACGAGGGAGATTGCCATTCACTCGTACTGACTCGTCCCCGTAGGAGCTTTCCTCAACGAGCGAGATTGGCTGCCACTAGGCGATCGCCATCACCCTGGTTACGTTCGTGGGATGACTCGAAGCTGAAGGGCGGAGTTGAAGAGCTGTCCTTGTACCTGATGATGCGCTGTATCCAGATTGGCAGTGTTGGCGGTGACGCTGGGATCGTCTCGCGATCGCAGGCGGAGGCAACATCTGTCGACAGACGACGTGGAGATCGACGCTAACACCGGCCCCCGGCAGCCCTGGGCCGCCCGACTCGGAGATATTCTCCTGTTCCTGACTCTCTTGTGCCTCTAATCCCAGGGCGGCTACTCGGAGCGATGGACAGTGTTCGTTGCTCTTGACGCATTTCCGGGCGATACAGATCGTCTACTGGGCGATCGCCGTGTTCGTCTTTGGCAGCTACCCAGTGGAAGCATCATACTCCCCAGACTGAACCAAGGCTGTCAAAACTCCATCTCGTGATCGAAGCCGCCCTGCTCAGCCATGGTCTCGAACGGCGCATCTTGCATGTCCAAGTCGATATCCGAGATCGCATCCCTACCTTGACTGCCGAGCAAGCGCTCCAGCCTCTCAACCTCTGCTTCTGCCAGTCGTCCAGCCTCCTCCAGCCCGCTCAGCACGCAGCCCAACAGCTCCTCTAACTTCAGATCTCTCAGCACTTTCTCGTACCTCCTCATCTTGCCCGGGTCCCATTCTTCTTCCGCCCGCTCGTGCCCACTGAACGACTCTTCTGGTCGCGATTCGACGTCTTTCCACTTGTTACGGAATTCCTTGGCAATGCCTATGTACTCTCTGACCGGACCTCTGCCGAGGGTTGTGTGCAGCGGGTTCGAAGGGTGCTCGAGAGCAGAGATGACGTTGGCGTGGAAGCGATGCGCCGAGCCGTGGAAGGATAGAGAGTCACCAATGATGGATCCGTTCGCTGCCGCTTGGGAAGCAGGAGCAACGCCCGCTGATGCTGTGATCACAACGCCCCAGACTCCAAGTAGACAGACAAGCCCCCGCTCGAGAAGCGCGTAGAACTCGTAGAAGTCGATCTTGAACTGTCGTTCTGCTTCGACCGGGTCGATCACCATGTCGTAGGTTCCCAGTGTCGCTCGCGGGCCGTCGACATGCCTGCCCTGGGCTTGACTTAGGGGATCACCATCGGAGTAAACGCGCTGATATTCCGACAATCGAGCTTGATGTTCTTGGGCCAGATTGAGTGCGCGGTGGGACCAGTGCGTTAGACTGTTCGCTTTCCATGCGAGCCGGCGGAAGAGTCTGCGAAAGCGGTGCAAGTCATTGTGGCGAGCGGTATATTGGCGCTGCGCGGAGCTGAGTGGCTTTGCCGCCGGTGCGGTCGTCACAGCCGTCACCTGCTGCGGCCATGGCTTGCTCGTCGAAGGGTCTTGGTGATGTGGTGAGGGAGCTCGACTTGTCCAAGGTGACGGCTGCGATTGTCTTTCGCGCCGCACTTCAGGGCTTGCCCATCGAGAGGCACTGAGGTCGCGGTTCTGCATCACAAGCCCTCACCGCAGGCTTCTTGTTCCTAATGTGGTCGAGGGGAAGCCTAAATTCGTGGCATCATCGCTAGACTGGCCAGAGACGGAGATGATCCAGTTTAGGCCGGTGAATGCTTTGTGAAGTGTAAACGCGCAAAATTCCATCGCTCGTCACGACCTCGCATGCCAGGACTTCGGTCGCGCCAGTAAGCACGAAAGAGACTCACGTAGCAATCACCTTCAATTACAGTAGTGGGCATGCTAGACGGGTGGTCCTTGAAGCAGAAAAGAGCTGTCGTCGAACGATAATGGTTGACTTACTATTCCTATCAATCACACACGAATGCTTCGTTGATTGTGTGGGAGAGGCCAATACAGCCTCAACTCCCATAACGCCCATTGGTATCACGTTGCATTGCCTCGATGAGCACTGACCCGAGCAAAACTTATACCATCAACCGCTGCAAGCGCCAAAGTTGCCCATACGCATCATCAATTACCAAGCTTGCTTCATCCCACCAACCGATCCATGGATTTCAGTCGGCGTCACCGTCCCTCGTGCCTCGAGATTGTTGATTCTGTCTTCCGCCATGACTCACTCTCCCTGTAATATCCTGCCACGTAGCGTCGAATCTCCTCCCCGTGCTGGCTAGAAGCCCTTCCTCTTCCTCCTCGAGTTCATCCTCCTCTGCGTCTGGATCCGACAACTTGGGAGTCCGGAACAGGAGAATGACAAAGCCTAGCAGGAAAATTCCCAAGAAGACGAATTGGGCCCAGAAGTCAACGACGCCGAAGAATGGGAAGTTGACAGTCACTCGGTTGAGGAACGTCGAGACCACAGAGGGCGTGCAGACGTTCCGCGCCGCCGGATTACCGGTGGACTCGGTGCAGGGAATAATGTGCTGCTTGTGATCGGTGCAGTCAGGCTGTTCCCCAGGATGCTTGGGTGGGTGATCGCAGAACGTTTGGGGGCCAAAGGTTGCGTATTGTGGCGCGACCATCATGGCTATCGAGTAGTTGATGGCTAACGTCATGAGCGTAAGCAGCACCGTCGCCACAAGTAATGCCTGCGGCGAGGTGTGGGCTTTGCGGATTCTGAAGATGGTTATCCATAGTACTCGGATGCCAATCGTCGCTATCCCCAAAATACTGGCGCTGAAGAAGAGCATGACTATTGCCATGAAGATGACATAGTCGATCGGGAAGACCTTGGCAGACTTGACCAGAACCCAGTTGACAGGCTGGAAGATATTGATATGGGCGAGCAGATAGCCACAGTGTCGCTTGCAGATTGAGTTCTTTGCCTTGTCAATGCCCGTGATCAGCATGCTAGCGAAGATGACCAAGACAATGACCATCAGAAGGAGACCGAGAATGAGCTTGATGGGTCGAAGAATTGCACCAATCTTGAACCAGATCTTCCAAAAGATATTGCGATCCTTGCCGGAGGCTTCTTCGGCCATGCGCTGGTGACGACGTAGCGTGCGTTCTTCCCGGACGAGAGCATCGAGCTCTCTCTGGTCTTTCGAGGACAGTCCATCTGGGTTGCCCTGGGCGCGTCCTTCAAGCTGTCTCTGCCGTTCCAAATTGCTCTCGAGCTGGGCAGCCGTCGACTCGGACAATGCCGGCGCGGAGATGCCTGGGGCGGATTTGATCATGGTCAGAGGCAGTAGAGCGAGGCCTGCGGCGGTGTAGAAGCAATACAGGATGACACCAATTGTGATCAGCAATCCCAATGCAAACGTCAATGCACGCTCGCCGTGATTCTCCGACAGCAATTTCTTGAAGAAGTCCAGGTCAAAATGCGCGCCCTCCCTGTGACGAGCGACGGGCACGAAGAAGCCGACGAGGAAGAGGGCAACACAAAGGAAGATGAAGACCACCGTGTACTTGAAGGCGCCCCAGAACCTCGACCCGAATGTCTGAGTACCCTCCTCTTGAGCGACCTCATCGTACTCTTCGTACCAGAAGTAGGTAAACGGAATGACCAAGAGGCAGAGGAGAGCATCGAGCGAGTAGAGCAGGTAATAGACGATGCGCAGCGTGTAGGTGATATTGTCGACCTTGTCTTGGTTCGCCCAGCCCTTGCGCTGTCCCGTCTTGGAGCTCGTGGTACTTGAGACCAGTGCGACGTCCACGGGCAGCAACAGCACTGTTGCCAGGAGGGAGGTGATGGTAAAGATGCAGACAATGGTGACAAAGATCGATCGTTCTCGATGAGTCTGATACAGGTAGACGAATAGACAGGCGATGGAAAGTAGGATGGCGACGGCAATGGCATAGACGACCCAGATCAACGTGATTTGCACGTAGCCAGCGGACGCCATGGCCGAGAGGGTTGGCTCAACGAGCCCGGACAGCATCTTTGTCTGTGTTCCAACTTCACATCTGAATCTCAGACCAGCTGAAGTTCAAGAGGGAGGATGCGGGGTGGTGGTAGACAAGAAGCAAGAGCAGCATAAGAAGTCGTCCACGTCCCACGCAGGCAGCAGATGGTCATGAGCATCACTTGCTGCAAACCGGCGTCATCGCTTCACTTCCCGGGTTTGTGTTTGTATGCCAGAAAGAGACTAGCGAGTATTATGTAATCCACTGGCCCAACTTCGAAACTTGAGCCTTTGCTCAGCGCGACCTCACCGCGCCTCATCCTGGAGAAGACAGTCCCTACCTGTATATTGTCTCTGTGTGGGCGATGCGCCATAGGCCCTGTCGCCGGAGGGAGATAGAGTGCCCGACAACGTGCGGGAGGCAGTAGCACCCCTGCCACCCATCTCACCACGAGCTCCCTCCTTCTCTTGTCAACCGCGACGTCAACATGCAGTGCTACTCAGATCTCATTCCTCCTTCTGGAGTCACTCATGCGCTCTCGCTCCCTTTCACATCAGCGCATGCCGACAACTTGATTATTGCCCGGACTTCTCTTCTGCAGCTCTTTCAATGCAAGTCAGTCCCCGCAGGCCAGGACACCAAGCTCGTCCTGGTTGCCGAGTACAACCTTGCCGGCACAGTTACATCGTTGGGCAGAGTCAAGGTCACAGACTCGAAGGCCGGCGGAGACGCCCTTCTCATCGCCCTGCGTGATGCTAAACTGAGTCTTGTCGAATGGGACCCGGAACTGCATAGCATATCTACGCTCTCAATACATTACTACGAGCATAATGATCTCCAGGCTGCGCCATGGCAGCCTGATCTTGCTGATTGCGTCAGCCGTCTCACGATTGACCCTTCAAGTAGATGTGCCGCTTTCAACTTTGGCATAAGTAATCTCGCCATCATCCCGTTTCATCAGGCCGGTGATGATCTGGCTATGGACGACCTGGACGACGAACATGACGAGAAGGCACAGACAAGTCCGCAGCAGGAGGGTCAGGCTGGTGATGCCCACTCAAAGTACAGCCCATCTTTCGTGTTACCATTAACCATTCTTGATCCTGGCCTATTACACCCCGTCGACATGGCTTTCCTCCACGAGTATCGCGACCCGACCATTGGGATTCTCTATTCCACAGCCGCGCGCTCCTCGAATATGAGTCCTGAACGTCAAGATGTCACAATCTATGCGGTCTATGCTCTCGACTTGGAGCAGAAGGCCTCAACCACCTTGCAGTCTGTACAGAAACTTCCCAACGACCTCTACCGAATTGTGCCGCTGCCACTGCCTGTAGGAGGCGCATTGCTGATCGGCGGTAATGAGTTGATCCATGTCGATCAGGGTGGGAAATCAAGTTCCATTGCGGTCAACGAGTTCGCAAAGGAAGCTTCTTCGTTCCCAATGACAGACCAGTCCGAGGCTCGATTGAGGTTGGAAGGTTGCCAAATAGAGCACTTGGGCAACGCCGCCGGCGACATGTTGGTGATACTGAAGAGTGGAGAGCTTGCTCTTCTGGGCTTCAGAATGGATGGCCGTTCGGTGTCCGGACTGACCCTGCGAAAACTCGGAACAGCACATGTCCATAACCTCGTGGAGGGTTCTGCGTCTTGCACCGCGAATCTCGGAACAAATTGTCTCTTTATCGGAAGCGAAGGAGCCGACTCGGTTCTGCTTGGAGCAGACAAGAAGCCAGCCCAGTTAAAACGCATACGCTCACGAGCGCAGACTCAACCAAATGGAGTGGAATCTGATCAGGAGGAAGAAGATGCTCTAGATGACGAGGACGACGACGACCTCTACGGCGAAGCCATACAAAAGCCGAATGGACATGCCTCAAGCGAGTCCAGTGGCCAGAACTTTCGAGTTATGGATCGGCTTCCATCAATAGCACCTATAAATGACTTGGCCCTCGGCCCCCTGGGCAAGCGGAAGCGCGATGAGAGCGATAATTCTGCTCTATCAGGCAACCACTCATCTGAGATTATGGTCGCATACGGTCGAGGTCGTGCCGGTGGAGTGGCTTCAATAACCCGCCACCTCGAGCCGGAGACGACAAAACGGGTGAGGTATGAAGATGCTATCGGTATATGGTGCTTGGGCTCCACGCAGAAATCTCAAGATCACAAACCGGCAGAGGAGCTGGTCATCGTTTCTCACATGACCGCGGATGGTGTCGGCCGATCTTCGTTGTATCGTCTCAATGATGGCGATATGTCGCCAATCGCAGACAGCGACTTCGACCAAGCTGCTGGTTCAGCAATATCGGTCTTTAAGCTGCAGGCTACAAATCACACGATCCAGGTGCTGCCCACGGAAATCCGTGTCTACGATGCCAACTTTGGCCTCTCGCAGATATTTCCCGTGGTCGATGAAGAAGAAGGCCAACTAGCCAGGGCGACGAAGGCTGCCTTTGCCGAACCTTACCTTGCCTTGGTCAAAGACGACGGTACAATGGCCGTGCTCAAGGCAGATAAGGCCGGTGAGCTTGATGAAGTTGACCATCCGACAGCCTTCAAGGATAAGACAATCTTATCAGTATCGCTCTATCACGATGCAGGCGATTTCTTTCAGACTTCGAGGCTGTATGGAGGCGCTGCGACTTCAGCTGGACCAATTCTGGCACTGATGGCTTCAGATGGCCACTTTTGCCTGTTGTCTCTTCCCAACCTGCGTCTCCAAGTGTTTCAGTGTGACAGTCTGCCATTTCTACCCACTCATCTGTTGCAAAACACACAGCTACCCAAGCATTGGAGAAACAAGGACGAACTAGCAGAAACTCTGCTTGTTGATCTTGGAAACAAGAATGACAAGCGACCGTATCTGGTTGTTCGCAGTACTACCAATGATCTCGTCATCTACGAACCCTTCGCGGTGCCCGGCGTAGTAGGCAGCTTCAAGTTCAAGAAGATTGCAACAAAGCCAGCAGAAGCTCCCGAGGACACAGTCGAGGAAGAAGGCGAAGAATCGTCACTCCAGCCGATGCAAGTGATCAGGGACATAGCAGGGCATGCCTCGGTATTTATTCCTGGAGCGCAGCCCATGCTCATCCTCCGCGAGGCGTCCACCATGCCACACGTTTACGAACTGAAGCCACAGAACATCAAATCTCTGAGCGCAATCAGTACCGGTACCAGCCCCCACGCCTTCGTCTTCATCGATGACACAGACTACTTGTGTTTCTGTCAACTCCCTCAAACCCTCATGCTCGGGCACTCGGACTGGGTCATCGACCGCGTCTCCCTCAACGAAGACATAACCTCACTCACTTATTTCTCCCCGACAGACTCGTACATCCTGGCCACAAACTCGAGCACTGAGTTCCAACTCCCCCAGGACGACGAGTGGCACCCGGAATGGCAAGCTGAATCCACGACGTTTCTGCCCACAACGCTTACTTCCACTCTAAAACTCCTCAGCTCTCGGTCCCACCGCATCATAAGCCAATTCCACTTCGAGGCGTCCGAGCGGGTGCTCTGCGTGAAGTCAATCAACCTAGAAGTCTCCGAGGAGACGCACGAACGCAAGGATCTTATTGTCGTGGGCACTGCCGTCGTGAAAGGCGAAAACATTACGACCAGAGGAAACATCTACCTCTTCGACGTCGTCGACGTGGTCCCAGAGCCAGACATACCCGAGACGGATCTGAAGCTGAAACTCATCACCAAGGAAGAAGTCCGTGGCGCCGTGTCGGCAATTTCGGGTGTCGGATCGCAGGGCTTCCTGCTCGCAGCGCAGGGCCAGAAGTGCATGGTCCGTGGGCTCAAGGAAGACATGTCCATACTGCCCGTCGCCTTCCTCGACATGCGGTACTACGTGCACGTCGCCAAAGAACTCCCCGGCACGGGCCTGTGCATCCTGGGCGATGCCTTCTCGGGCCTCTGGCTCGTAGGCTACTCCGAGGAGCCCTACAAGCTGCAAATCCTCGGCCGCGACTTTGAGAACCCGGCCGTCCTGGAGGCCGAGTTCCTCCCCGCCGCGAAACAGCTGTACATCGTCTCGGCCGGCGAAGACGGCGTGCTCCGCATCTTGCAGTACGATCCCGAGGACCCCAAGACCGAGCGCGGTGCAAAGTTGTTGCTCCGGAGTACCTTTCACACCGGCGACATGCCGACCAGCATGACGTTGGTGCCACCTCGGCTACCGACCGCCGCTTCTGCTGCTGCTGCTCGTGCTGCTCAACGCTCCTCCAACACCACGGCCACCGCGGCGGCGTCGTCGTCGATGGATCTTCTCGACGCACCCTCGTCCCAGGCGCACACCATCCTCATGACTGGTGCGACCGGCTCGCTCTCCCTGCTCACGCCGCTCTCCGAGCCCACGTACCGGCGCCTGTCGACGCTGCAGAACGTCCTCCTCTCGTCCGCGCTAGACAGCCACGCGCACTACGCCGCCCTCAACCCGCGGGCGTACCGACAGATCGAGACGGACGGCATCGGAGGGAGGGCCGTCATCGACGGCGACCTCGTCAGGCGGTGGTGGGAGCTGAGTGCCCAGGGCCGAGCGAGCGCCAGTGACAAGGCCGGAGGCAGCGTTTGGGATGTTCGCGGTGATTTGGCCATTGTGGGAGGAGCGGAGGCTGGGTTTTAGCGCAAAGAAAGGGGGGAGGGAGTGTGTGAGGAGAGCGCAACGAAGAATATAGGGGTCTCTGGACGAGAAGACCCGGACAGACGGACAAAGAGGGGGGCGGGGAGAGAGACAGACAGATAGATAGACAGACAGACAGATACACGTATTGAAAGTACGATGACTAGAGCCCCAGGTCCGGTACGGTGGATTTTATTCTTTCGGTTTCCTAGACTATGTATGTACTTTTGCAATCACCGTCCTTGTCTTGTCAAGGCGCTCTACTTTGGCTGTGTTTCTATGCTCCTTTCTCGCCCTGATTCGTACGTGATGGATGAGTGACTAAGTCTCTTCGGAGCGTGTCTATCAGTGAGTTTATTCAAACAGTGCATGGTGCATATGAAGCAATCGCCCCTTGAAAATCGGCTGTACAGAGTATCTGCTTATGCCTGGAGATCATGCCACGCTGCAACCGCAGTTGGTGCAATGTTAAAATACCTTTGTGCGCAGGCTTTACAGCCATGCTGGTGCAGCTTCCTGTGCCTACATACATCTGCATATATGGAATGCATGCCTATAGAGGATCCTCGCCTAGCAGATCTTCACCCGGGTCGAACGACACATCGGTCACCGTGTTGTCCTCCGGCTCCTCGAGTAATCGTCCTTGAGCACGATTATTCTTCTTGCCCTTTTTCTTCTTCGTGCTGCTGAAGACTTGAGGAATGTCATCATCGAAGGCTTGCATGGGAGCTGTATCTAAATTTGTATGTGCCGAGACAATTGTCGTTTGACGTTGGATGTTAGTGCTGTCATCCGCATCTTTTAGATTTGGTTTAATGATGCTCTGTGTACTGAATGAGATATCCTCGCCGAAGATCCATCTGTCTGAGGACTCTGGACTCGAGCGCCGTCCTTGATGGGCAGAGGGCCGAACTTCGATTATTGAGGTTGCTTGTCCCGAGTTGAAGGATATGGTAACTCTGCGATCTGAATGGAATGGCTGATAGGGAGAATTGGTTTCGATCTCAGCCGAGGCCAGCGGGTGGGGCGTTCTCGAGCCAACATCTCTACTAGGCCTAGGTTTCCAAAAGCCAAGCAGAGGAGGCCTTTCATTGCTCTTGTCCTCTGATTCAGCTGCGAATGCTGTCGGTGGTCGCCCGGAGGTGAGGTCTACAGCCTTCGGTAATTTGGTGGCAACCGCCTTTCGTGCATCGAAAACGGAGACAGTTTCCAATTGGCGATTTTCTCGAGGCTTGGTCATGCGGACGTAGTAGTTCTTGACGTTATTGTCGTCCAGGATGGACAATATGGACCTTCCGTCACGTCGCAGCCAACAGAACATACCCGAGCGTGCGAGGATTCTCAGGTGAAGCCTGCTCTGGTTCGCGTGCCGTATGCTGGTGACCGTCTCAGAGGCAGCACCCAGGGACTTGCTAAGGCCCGCCGCTACCGCCCTGCCACCACTTTTGATGCTGGTCGTCGAAGCAAAGCCAATACCCACTGGAGTTGCTCCAGCCAGGCCACCGTTAATACTCGGGGCTCTTCCGCGCAAACTTGCAAGCATTGGTTGTGTTCTACCTGCAAGGCTCATGGCCGAGGCAAGAAAACCTCCCGCTGGTGCAGGGTCGTGTTCCATCTTTCCTTGGGCGGGGTCGATGGGGGCAGAGGTTGGCCGACTCTTCTTGACCGCGGGTGGTGGCCAACGGAAGGACGTTTTCGGCAAGTCAAAGATGTGAATAGTGCGATTCTTGGTGAGAAGAGCGAATCTGTATCCAGTTGGCCCATCCCACGCTATGTCGACAATAGTAGACGGGCTCAAGCGCTCGTACCGTGCAATTTGCCGCACCCGGTTGCTTTCAGTCGAGGTCGAAGTTGGTGAACCGTGCGTGTATTTCATCTGCATCAGGTCCCATATGTACTGTACATCACCGTTATGATTTGCAGTCAAGAGCCCTAGGCCAGTTGGCGTGAAAGACAGAAAGCTACAGCCACCCGGTGGTTGGAAGGTGATCACCGAACTGAGCTCAGCTCCCTTTCGACCTTGACTTTCCTGAAGCATTTTCAAATCGAGGATGCTGACGAGCTCCGGGTCCCTGGATACTCCATGTTGTTCGATTGCATGCGTAGGAGGAAACTGAGCCAGGGCCAGGTGTGGAGAGTAGGCTGGAGGGCTGGAGGATTGGAGAGCGGGCTGGCTAGGACTGCCTGTATCCTTCTTCCAATAATTTTGCCATGTCTGCATGCCTTTTTCGCTGATCCACTTCGCACCTCTGACAGCTTCCTGCGCAAATCCTTTTGCGACTTTGCTCAAGAAAGTATCGACATCTGGGGAATCGACCTCGCAGTTCGACAGAGGCCTTGCGGGAGCAGTCCCAGCGTTGACATTCGAGTTCTTGCCAAAGACCACATATTCACCCAGGATCGCACCAATAGACCTTCGAGAAGAGGTACCTGCTGGGCAGAATGCCAGCCATCGCCCGTTGAGACTCAGAATGGGTGGATTCTCGGCATCGATCCCACGAGCAAGGTCGGCGGGCGAAATGTCCGCATCGGACGCGGGCCCATGAGAGGAGGAATCTCTCCTCTGCAGATGAGGTTGCAGAGTGGTCCAGTACTTGCCCAGGCATTCGAAGACGCCGGAATCCTTGCCTGTTCGGAGGGCGAAAACATAGATTTCGCCACTTTCCCCAGAAGAGACGACAACGAAATTACCGCTGGCATGGATCTTCAGGGACGATGGACGCCCGCTACTCGTAGCGACCCCTGGGAAACCTCCCGTAGCAGTGGGCACCTTCAACAGCTCAGCCACCTCACAGCTCTTGCTTAGAGAAAACACCACTACTCTGGTCTCCGGAACCTTGTAGGGAGTCCCATTGAAGGGTCGGTCTTCGGTTGGTGGTGATGTCCCGGGATGTGGAGCCCCAGACCCATGGACAACGAGCGCCACCAAAGGCCTGAGGGCCGAGAAGGGGTCTTCGCCAGTATTCCATGGAAGAAGCGTGGCATCAACTATGGTGCCTTGCACCCCGAGGAGGGCTCCAATGTGTTCTAATTTCTCCCCATTGTAACTGACAAGATGCAGCTCCCCGTCCACAGTCAGAAGAATAGCGTCTCGCAACTCAGATCCTGAGCCCGGTAAGCGGGTGAACTTCAAGGGAGCCGGTTCTGGCAGAGGTGTGTGTGGAGGGCAGACACCCAAGTCGACATCGTGGGCGCCATAGAAGTGTTGTTGAGGCAGATGAGGCAGGGCAGGAGGAGACCCATATGCAGTGATGCCATAGCCGTAAGGTGAGGTCGACATTCGATGGTGACTCGGGAGGGCCGGAATGCCTCCACCATAGCTCACTGGACGGGCGTTGCGCATGGGAGGGGAGATCGGCGGACTTCTAGCATTGAAGGCGACTCGAGTGCTGAAACCAGGCTCGTATGGCGGTGAAGAGGACGAGTTCAGGCCTGGAATGGGCTCGACTGGTGGGGTCCTGCCGTGGACAGCATTCCGAGCCCAGAGGTCGACTGGCGGAGTATGCTCGTCGGAAACCTTCTGAGAAGAGTTCGCGTCGTTCAAGGCATCGAAGGCATTGCTCCTTCTGGTTTGAGAGAATGTCTGCGGTATCTGGCCGAGAATCGAGGGTGGAGGGTTTGAGGAGGAAAACGGGAGCTGAGATTGACCCATTGACGCTGACTCTGTGCTGTTGTCGGCATTGTCGACGCTAGACAGCTGTCGGGCAGCAGCATTCTTTGTCTTCTTCTTTCCTGCTCTTGAAGGAATGGTGTCTTGCTCGGCCACAGCTTTGGGGACTCCTATGTCTGGGTGTTTGGAGTCGGCGGTACAGACTGCTTTGTTAGATGCTGGCATTCAAAACCCTTGCACTCTTGATCTAGGGCACGGCCGAGCCTGGCACCTCAGCAGGCTGCTCGAGACGGGCAGCGGGGGTCGGATCTTGCCAAATGATGGTCGAGGCGACGAATGAGTGTTGTAAGGAAGCACCCCTGCCGACGCGGGGTTGCTCGACGCGTGTTTGGAGAGCAGATGAGTGATCGATCGTCTACAAAGAGATCAGCTTCCGAGCGAACTTGGTCAGAGAATGAGCTTGTACACGTTGATAGAAGGAGTGCAGATTGCGTCTGTCCTCCATTCGTGGAGGAGAACAAGGTTAAGATGTAGTCAGAGGCAGTCAGGTGCAGGGTGGCAGTTGAGCACCGCCCGAGCCAGCAATCAAACAGTTGAGTCAGGAGGCCTCTCGATGACTTGCTTATCGCCAAATGGGGGGCTGCTGAGGACCACGAGGTCACCCGGGGATTGGTTGGGCGTGGTTGGTCGAGCTTGGTGCGGGGGAAGCTCAGATGCGCGCGGTGGCTCGGTGGCTCGGTGGCTGGGGCGGGCACCGGGCGAGTCACTGGCCTTGAAAATAGCAAGACTTTCCGTTTGCAGCCACCGAGTCCGACATCAACTCAGACTCGTCAACTGGCCTGATGTTGATTTCTACCTAGGTAGGCACCTCCATGACGCGAGTGGGCAACAGCCAGAGTGGGCGTCGCCCGTCAGGTCGCACCTGGAAGGCGACAAAGAAAAATGGCCTAAAGCAAAACGTGGAAGAAGTTGATGGGAAGAGTCTCTTATATTGAGGAAGCCATGACTTGTGAGTGCAGCATCTCAAGCAGACACGTCACCGGCCCACGTATCAGGTGCCTGTCGAGCTGCGAGTATATCGCACTCAAGATGCGGTATTGGGCTCCCTGCAATGGTTCAGCAGCAAGGCTATAGCCAGTTTCAAGACGAACCAAGGGTCATGTACTGGTCGACACTGACAACCGCTACCGAAGATCTTGGTGGCTTGCTTCTGGCCGCCTGATTCTCTCCTGAACGGCCCGAAAACAACCCATGGTACTCTCCCCAGAGCCGAAAAAGATTCCAAAGCATTGTTCTTATTTCGTTTTCTTCGCAGCGGCAGCTCGTGCCTTTGCAGCCTTCTTCCTATTGCTCCTGATCATCACCATGGCGAGGAATGTCCCAACGACTGCGGAAGCGAGAATGGTGAGGATCACCGGGATTCGAATGGCCCAAACGCGAGGAGGAAAGAGGCGCTGCAGGGGATGGTCGTCATCCACGAACGGCTATAACACGATGAGTACGCAAGGCGATGCCACGGCGGACTGCGAACATACCATGAACAGCGTCCATAGAGTGTAGTACAGGAAGACTGTGGTTGCTACCACGAGCATCGCCATGCCCACGAGTTTGTCCAACTTGGACGAGAGGTTAGCGCTTTCTGGAGAACCAGCTCGGCGCAAAGGCGGAACTCTTACCATTTCTGCAAAGACCGCTCTTGCCTTGCGGTGTGATGGACACTGGTCGAGACAGTCACAGTAGAAAAGACCTGACAAGTCGACGGCTAGACTCGTTCACGAAATTGAACACGCAGTCGCGCTGAGGGAAGGGGATGCACCAAAAAGGACTAGCTCCGGCACAGTTTTTCCGGCTCCGCGCCCCCAAATTTCTGGGATTCAAACTTGTCCATGCATGTATGCCTGTTGCCATCCTTGCCTTCAGCCACAACCTTTCGACAAACATCGTCTGTCGGACACCTTCGCCTTTGTGACAAGGTGCTGGCGAGGTGACAGTCACAGTCTAACCACCCATCCATCGATTCCATTAGTTCACCGTGCATGGGCACAACCATCATGGCAGACACCATGTTGCTCTCATCAGCCGTTCGCCTGCCCACCCCACCTCCGGGCGGTTCCTACTCTCCAGGCCCCTCGACAACCAGAAAGAGGTCTCCCCCGTCTCGATCGCCTTCGCCCAAGCGTCGTCGACCGGCGCCTGGCCAGGCGGATGATGGGGAGCGGAGGAGGAATGGCCCAGAGACGGACCGTGAAATGGACGAGCGGGAACTACAACTACTCGCTAAATTCAAACCGAAGGAGACGGAAGATGCGAGACGGAAGCCGCTGACCGCCGAAGAGAAGCAGGCGGCCGCAAAGGCAGAGTACGAGAAACTCCTCACAATGCGATCGGGCGGCACCTACATCCCTCCGGCGAAATTGCGAGCTCTACAATCCCAGATTACAGACAAGACGAGCAAAGAATATCAGCGCATGGCATGGGAGGCTTTGAAGAAGTCCATCAATGGCCTCATCAACAAGGTTAATGTGTCGAATATCAAACATATTGTTCCAGAGCTGTTTGGCGAGAATCTGGTCCGAGGTCGAGGATTGTTCTGTCGGAGTATCATGAAAGCTCAGGCCGCTTCCCTGCCCTTCACCCCAATCTATGCAGCGATGGCGGCCATTGTCAACACAAAACTGCCGCAAGTGGGAGAGCTGCTGCTGAATCGACTGGTGGTCCAGTTCCGGAAGGCATTCAAACGAAATGACAAAGCGGTCTGCCTGTCCTCGACAACATTTATTGCTCACCTGTGCAACCAGCAAGTGGCGCACGAAACTGTAGCCGCCCAGATCCTGCTACTGCTTCTCCATAAACCGTCAGACGACTCGGTAGAAATTGCGGTCGGATTGACAAGAGAAGTCGGCCAGCACTTGGAAGAGATGAGCCCACCCATAGCCTTGGCTGTGTTCGATCAATTCCGCAGTATCCTTCACGAAGCCGATATCGACAAACGAGTGCAATACATGATCGAAGTCCTCTTCCAAGTCAGAAAGGACCGATACAAAGACAATCCTGCCATTCGAGAAGAGCTCGACCTGGTGGAAGAAGAAGATCAAATCACCCATCAAGTCGACGTGGACGACATCGACATCGACGTCCAAGACACTTTGAACATTTTCAAGTTTGACCCTGAGTGGGAAGAACATGAAGAAGCGTACAGGAAGCTCAAGGCTGAGATTCTGGGCGAGGACAGCGATGCCGACGACGACGATGGCAGCGGTACCGAAGAAAGCTCCGATGACGAAGAAGCCGAACACGAACGGGCTGTGGAAATCAAGGATCAGACCAACACCGACTTGGTTAACTTACGAAGAACCATCTATCTGACAATCATGTCGAGTCTGGACTTCGAAGAAGCATGCCACAAATTGATGAAAATCCAACTCCCTGCGGGTCAAGAGCCGGAGTTGCCTTCCATGATCGTGGAATGCTGCTCTCAGGAAAAGACATACTCCAAATTCTTCGGCCTCGTCGGTGAGCGATTCGCGAAGCTGAATCGCCTTTGGACAGATCTATTTGAACAATCCTTCGCTCATTACTACGACACAATCCACCGCTACGAGACGAACCGGCTACGCAATATTGCGCGTTTCTTCGGACACTTGTTGGCTACCGATGCCATTGGTTGGCACGTCTTTTCGGTCGTTCATCTTAATGAGGAAGAGACCACCTCTAGCAGTCGAATCTTCATCAAAATCCTGTTCCAAGATCTCGCCGAGGCATTGGGCATCCCCAAACTACAGGAACGCTTCAAAGATGATATTCTTCGGGGAAGCTTCACAGGCCTATTCCCAACCGACACACCGCGCAACACCCGCTTCTCGATTAATTACTTCACCAGTATCGGTATGGGTGCTCTGACGGAGGAAATGCGTGAACACCTCAAGAACCTCCCCAAACCAGAGGTTCCTGCTTTGCCACGGGTGAAGGATGATGTCTCGGATTCGGAGAGTGTGAGCTCGTACTCGAGTTATTCGAGTTATACGACGAGCAGATCTTATTCGAGGAGCCCTTCGAACGACAGAGATGGAAGACAGAGATCGTTAAGTCCCCGGCCGAAAGGTAGGGCCACGCGCCGGTCACTCTCTCCGTCAAGATCTCGGTCTCCGCCAGCCCGTGGTCCAACGAGACGTGGAAGGAGTCTAACTCGGTCCCCTTCGCGATCTCCATCCCCTCCCCCTCGCCGCGCCGCGCAACCGAGGCGCCGCTCCCCGTCTCCCTCGGTCTCGCGGAGTCCACCACCAAAACGCGGGAGAGTCCGCACTCGCTCCTCATCATACAGTAGCTATTCCTCGCGGTCGCACTCTCGGTCGCCTCAACGGCGCGCCCCGCTCCCACGTCGGAGAGCTGACTACTCACCTTCTCGCTCTCGGTCCCGAAGCCCTAGCCGATCACGCTCACCACCGCCACGGAGGGCCGCAAGTCCTGCCGTGCACCCCTCACGCCGCCGTCTGGTACCTGTCGAGACAGCCAAACCACGTTCTCGGAGCCCACCGCGGTATACCCGTCCCACCGCGAGACGAAGTCCCAGTCGCTCTCCATCCCGATCGCGATCTCCACCACGGCGGAGAAAAGGGGATAGATACGCACCAAGCAGAAGCCGAAGCCGAAGCAGGGGTCGAAGTCGGAGCCTGTCGCCACCGAGAAGGAGGGCATCCCCGCCCAGGGCGAACAGACGCAATTCAAGTAGTGCAAGTGAAAGGTCCTGGAGTCGGTCCAGGAGCAGGAGTAGATCTCCACCGAGACGGGATGGTGGAAAGGGAAAGGGGAGACGATACTCACCTAGTCCGGTGGGACGAGGTGGTGGGGCAGCTGGGAGGGCGCGAGCCGCGGATTTCGATTGATGCCAAGATTGGCCACGATGATCTGAACGGGACCGAGGATAGAGGCGAGAACAGAAGGAGGGTAGCAATAGCACTGGAAATTTGAACAGAACCTGAAAGTGAGAGCGAGTGGAGGGGCAAAGTGTTCCATCGAATGGCTGACGGACATCCTTCCTCAGATGGAGCCGGGGGTCAACTGAGTGGTTCATACTGTTTAGTATTCCGTATCTGGACACTTGCTCTTCTCGAGCCCACGGGTACGTGTACTGTACCAATCAAGCCAAAGCCAGCAGGCAGGTGCTTCCCTAGTGGGGTTGTAGTATCTGTGATCGTGGTCTCATAACGCCGTGCCAATCCTATCCTATCGTACGGTGGTGTATCATGCATCATGCATCACGTCGCTTGCAGCTCGCTTGCCTGTCCTGTCCTAACCTGTCCTGACCTGTCCTGACTCGTCCCGTCCCATTGCCACACGGGATCCTTGTGTGTCGTGTGAGAACCCAGATCGACTGATTTTCGGCCCAAACGCCCGACGCCGATGCCAAGCGACAGTCGGAAGCAAAAGAGGTGATGTGGTTCAATGGGTGCCTGTCCAGTTCCTTGCCTTGTGGTAACAATCCCCCCAGTGGTTGGCGGACCCGCAAGAGGCGTTGATGTCCTGGCCCTCGCCCTCATCCTCTCCTCCTTCCAACATCCCTATTCCTGATACAGAACACTGAATCCGATCCTGGTAGTGATACTGTACCCAAAATTCCAGGCCCGGCTCCAACTGCCCATCCCGTGCTGCACACCTGTGGACGTAAAGACCAGGGACACGGCATGGAACTTCGTCTTGATCGTGATCGTGATCGTGATCTTCATACCGTATCGTCGTCGTACGCGAACCTCACGTCCTTGAGTCCCCTGCCCCGTCTGTACCCGCCGCCACTCCACCCATCGGGCCCTCGCACGCCCATGCTCTGACAAAACTGCTCATCGCCCTGCGGTCTCTCGTTCTTCGTGTTCCCCGTCAACATGCTCTGGATGCTCATGCAGACGCTCTCGACGGACTGGACGGGCGACCAGCCCGCCGTGCCGAGCAAGTCCAGGCAGATGATCCCGTTCGAGTAGATGTGTGGGTGGATCGGGACGGGGCGGCCGGCGAAGGGTTTCTCGCTCGATTGAGGGTTCGACGGGTCGGCGGGGGAGGGTGATTGTCTGATGAAGACGACTTCGGGGGCTTCTACTTGCGCCAGCGGTCGGCTTGTTAGCTCTGATGCATTGCAGCGTGCGGGGACGGCATACGCCGCTCTCTTTGCCCAGAGATTCGCCAGGAGGTAGAGGGGTCAGGAGCGTAGGACACACCGATTGGATAGGACTCGGAGAACAGAAAGCTCAGGCGGTAGATCTGGTTCATATACAACGGGTTGGAGTCTAGGACACGGATGTCGACAAGCCATTCTCGGAAGTCATCTGCTTTGACGAGGTCGATGCCTGGAGGCAGTTTTTGCTTGACCTATGTATGTAGGAAGACGTGTCAGTGTGTGTTGTTGGTTTGCCTGTCAGCTCGAAAGATATCGTTGCAGCGGTTGAGCAGCCCGGAGAAAATCGATCAAGTAGGGTGCCTGGGTGGTGGGTGGATGTTACCTTTGTCAGTTCCTGGGGAAAGGTCAGCGGTTGTCGGGACCAGTACTGTGGGTATGGCTGCCCTGGCCATCACTCACCTTCCCTAATCTCTTTGCTGCGAACATGGCGTAGAGATGTGGTGTGCCCGAGGTTTGTCTTCGCGCAGGAAGTCGCCCCGGTGGAGATGCGAGGCTGAAGTGGCTGAGTACCAGAAGATGTCGATGCAGATCGGAGTTGGAAATGGGTGGCGGATGAGGATGAGAAGGGACAAGGAATCTGACGCTGTAGACTGTACTCTCTCGCCTTGTAATCCTCGTTTGTAGTCTTGTAAGCGCGCTGTTGACTGTTGGCGTTGACGTGTCACGAGAGAAGCAGATCACCAAGATGCGAGATGCGGGATGCAGGCGGCGGGCTGAACAGCGCAAATCTGACAAACGAGACAAACGAGACAAATTAGACAAATTAGACAAACCAGGGCCCCGCGCCGCCAGTCGCGCCACCTTCCTTCAGCCGTGGATCTTTCACTCTTGTTTCACCAGCTACTGCAGGATGAGTGACGACGTGGTGGCCATGACTATACTTACAAAATTATTTTCAACGCATATCTCATGGCTTCATCATGGCCACAAAGCAGAGGTTTGCCTGGTGCGCCCGAAGGTCGCTGACATAATTGACGGCAAAACTGGGATTGACTATCTTTCATTACAGTAGGATAAAAAGGCACCGAAGAACTCGTCACTCCCTGGGTATAATCCGACAAGGCCAGATGCGTGTGACGTCGCGTGAAAGCAATCAAATGGTGAGATGGTCAGTAGCGCTTTTGTCTCCTCATGCCGTCGCAACCTTGGCCTCCTCCTTCTCCGGTGTTGCGCTCTCAGATGGCGGGGTGGCCGATCCCTCCGGATTGACACCTTGGGTGATCTGGGCGTTGATCTGCTGGACTGAGCCTCGACGAGCACCCGTCTCATCCTGGAACAAAGACCACTCTCCAATCAGCTCGTCGGAGAACTGGTCCAGATCCAAGCCAATCATTTCCACCTCGTCCTTGACGCGGAGATGCAGGCCAGGGATATATTTGAGGATGGTGAGCATGATGTAAGACAGTGTGAACGACCAGGCGGCAATGGCGGCAATTTCGGCCAGCTGCTTGGCGATCTGGGTGCCGTTGCCGTCGATGCCTCCGTGCACGACCGTAAAGCCGTCGAGGGATGAAACTGATGCCGAGGCGAAGATTCCAGTGAGGAAGGCACCGCACATGCCGCCGATTCCGTGCAGTTTGAACACCTCAAGACCGTCGTCGATATGAAGCCAGTCGTTCACTGGCTCGAAAAGGTTGACCACAATGGCCGTGATGAATCCAATCGCTGCTCCGCACCAAACTGAGACAAAACCAGCGGCGGGGGTGATACCCACGAGGCCAGCGATAACACCCTCGCACGCACCAACAACGGAGAACTTGCGGTGCTTGATGTAGTCCATCATGACCCAGCCAGCTACACCGGTCGCCGCAGCCATGTTGGTGTTCCACACCGCCATCATCGCGCGGACACTGGCGTTAAGGGCAGAACCGCCGTTGAAGCCGAACCAGCCGAACCAAATCAGAACTGTTCCGAGGAAGACGATGGTGACGTTGTGAGGCTTGTAGATGTGCTTCTCCCCATAGCGGCTGCGTTTACCAAGGACGAGAGCGTATGCCAAACCAGCGGTGCCGCTCGAGATGTGGACGGGCCCGCCGCCAGCAAAGTCAAGAGCACCAAAGGTGAATAGCCAGCCATTTGCATTCCAGGTCCAGTAAGAAATCGGGCAGTAGCAGATGGTCGCCCAGCAGAAGCCGAAAATAATGGAAGGAATAATGCGACCACGCTCGAACGAGCCGCCGACGACGATCATGGTTGCGCACGCGCAGAACATTAGCTCGTAAAAGGCGAAGACGATATCAGGGATGACCGCAGAGCCCCAGGATGGCGCAGCCATGACCTGAGAAGAACGTCAGTCTGCCATGTCACCGTGGTGGGCTCGTGTCTCTTACATCGATCATGCCGAAGTTCTTCAGGGTGCCAATGAAGGGACCGCCGTTTCGAGAAAAAGCAAGCGAGAATCCCCAAAATGCCCATTGGAAGGTGCAAACCGCCATGACCGTCCAAGCCTGGAAGACCATTGCCAGGGCAGACTTCCGGCGGGTCAGGCCGCCGTAGAGCAGACCGATACCAGGGACAATGACAAACACAAGCATGCCCATGATGACCTGGTAGACGTAGTGGAACTCAAGGCCGGTGTATGGGAGGTTGACATCGGTCACTTGGGGATCGCCACCGTTGGCCATACTGGAGTTGAACTCGGGCTGAACTTGGAGTCAGTACAGGACGCGAAGGCCAACAGTATCAGCCAGGACATACCCATGATGGAACCTCTACAGACGCCATAGCTACCTGTGCTGTCGCGTGTCGGGCTCGAAAAATGGTCCCTGCGGTCTACGAAGTAGTGTTGGGGGAAGAGCTGTGGATATTCTGCAGAACAGGCTCTGCTATATACCGTCGAGACGGGAGGTAGTCGGGAGGAAAGCGCGGCACCGCGACCACGCAAGCGAAGAAATTTCTTACCAACACGACCATCTCCACGCTACCCACCGCCGCCAGCACTCCGTTATTCTTGGTGCACACCACAAGGGCTGACCTCAAGCGAGTCGCAGGAAGAAGGTCAGTTCTGGCCGGCGAACGATGCGGGAGGCTTTGCGACCATGCCCCGAATGGGGACGCGACAGCCGAGTTGCCCTGGACTAGACCAGATTGATAGAGATAAAAACTGGCCGTGAGACCCATGAGATTGGCTGGGGGCAGTATCTTGGTGCAAATACTATTTGGAACAAAGGGCTCCCTCCGTCCTCGTACCTGGCTCCCTCGTGGTCAACCGTAGAGATTAGCGAGCCTTGCTGCTTCCCTTATCAGTGGGGTAGAGCCAAGACCCGAGCCAAGCCCCGTATCGCTGCCGCTGAGCCAATCGCGCGGGCGATTTCGGGACAAGCACGACTATCGCAGCTTCCTCCCGTTGCTTCTACTTTTCTTCTTTGCGCAGGTGGATCGACCATCGGTTTGGACACCGGCAGGCTTATCAACACGCGGCGCGGGTCGTCTGTGCTACGTCGAGTCACGACATCAGGAGAGCCATCCCACGCACAGCCGTCCGTATGCGGCCACAGCAGCTCGGACCCTTTGCGAATGCTTCTCGTTGGTGTGAAGCAGCACATGGCAAGAGCCGAGAATCAACAGTCGAGAGTCGCGACGACCAATGACACCGACATCGGGTTCACATGTGGGTGACGTGTCCGCCAGTCCTGCATCTCTCTGTCGGGCTCTTGCGAGTTCTGGACTGACTATTGCAGAACGACTACGAGGCGAGACGGTCAAGAACATCTCCGTCTATGGGCCAAAGGCCGGATAACCAGCGCACTACCATCTCACCCAGGACTGGGTACGATGTGTTCACGACTCCTCTACGTCTGTCAGCAAGCCGATCCGCTCCATACCTTCGGGAACCAGTCAAAGACAGTACCACATACGCACCACGATTCCAAGACACGGGGAAACTGGGGTACATACCTTGGGTGCCTGGTAAGCTTTTCAGCTCCGTACCCCAGACCTTGCAATGCTTATCTCTGTCGATCAACCAGACTCTTGATGAACGAGACTGTACATGGTCCTTGCCGCATCGTTGATGATCGAATCGTGAGGTCGACCCAGATTTCGATCGGGTGGCATAATGCCGACTCGTGGCGTCGCGCAACATCGTGTTGACGTCTTCGCCGCCCTGTTTACATCGAGAAATTGAGAACCACCCACCCTGCTTCAATTCCAACCCAGCGCGAGGCTCTCTTCAAAAATGCTCCAATCCTTCTGGTCAGGTGGACTTTGCTTGTGTGGGAAACATCATACGGCAAGTGCAGCCTCAATGCTAGAATATCATATGGTGAGAAAGGGTGGCATACCCGCCTGATATACGACTAGCGGCGTTTGGTCCTCTTCCTGAGACACGTCCAGTAGGTATGTCGGGGTTACGGTACCTCTTTCCCTGCCAGATATGTATCTCAAGCCAACCCAGTCGAGCCTGCGGCAAATCATGGACGGATATTTGCGTGCATGCGGCCTTGGTTTACTACGTCTCATGGGCATTACGATCTTGACTCCCTCGACTGCCACTACAATGAAGATAGCACATGGTCTGCGTCTCGGAAGCAGAACTGAAACGGTAAGAATTTGCGATTCGGTGCTCATGCTAAAACAAAAGGCAGTGTTATCGATAATACAGAGAAGCTCGCGCTCCGGCGACGTGCAATGACACCGCCCATGCTTATGCACATCAGCAGCCACAGTCTTCACCCGACTTGCCCCTGAAGGCGACGCCGCAGAATGTACATTTCGCCGCGCTTGATTGTCGTGGATGCACGAGCCGCATGCCACATGTCGTCCCTCGGGTATCGATTGCGGTCGTCCCTGGTCAGAACTCATCCACAGACCCGGCCAAGGATCTCAATTCCCACAGAATCAAGACATCGAGGACACCATTCTTAGTGCTCATCTGTACGGGTCCTCGGCTGTCCATCTCTCAGGACTTCGTGGCCGTCTTCTTGCTCGACTTCCCCAGTCCAAGCGCCCTGGGGATTCTAGCCCACGAATCTTCAAACAGTGCCTCTTCCTTCTCTTCCTTATCGACAAGATGCTGAAGCGATGCTGGCAGGTGAGGTTTCTTAATCGTCAGTGACGGCTTTTTGGCAGGCTGTTCTTGTTCTTGTTGTTTGATTGCCTTGGATGGTCGGATGATGATTCGGAGTCCTCTTGGTCTAACGCCACGCCGTCCTCGTCAGCATGTACTCCATAATGGCAGGGGCTTGGGGTGCTTACAGTCGACCCCACGAATCTTCATATATTTCGCGCTCGCTCTCGGCCTCGTCTACCAGGTTCTGAAGCGGGACTGGAAGGCTGGAAGTCGAACTAGTGGATGACCGCCTCCGGGCTGCGGTCGACGCGGTTTCTGTTCTGGACGTGGGATTCATAGTTGATATACGAGTCTGAGTATTCGAGTCAGGAGGCGTAACTAGGCTGTTTCGTGGTTGGTATTTATCGGTACGAGATGTAAATGTGTGTCTATGTGATATACAGGGCGGTGTGTATTTCTTGATTGTGTATATAGTTGTGGTTTGTCCTTTTTCTCGAACCATTCACCCGATCTATATATACCTATACCCACACGTACCAGCTCGACGATATCCTCCTCCCCGTGGGGTCAGGAGGACAACGAGCAGGACAAGTTCCCGGTACAGCGCACCAATGAGATAAAAGACTCTCGCTCGCTCGTTCGCCCGGTCCAAACTCGGCCCTCTCGCCCTATCGCCCTGTCGCCTGGGAGAAGACTCTTACATCACTGGGCGAGGATTATCCGGTACAAAGTACGGAGTAGTGACACTACCGATATCACTCAAGAACGAATATCCTAATTGTCCTTGACGGTTTGATCCGATAGCAAAGCATACGGATACTGGAAAACCAAAGAAAAAGGAAAAGGGGAAGAAAAGCATTGCGGCTAATGTGGATCGAACACAGTCCATCATGTCCATGGTCCTCACGCATTGCGCACATGACGACTTCGCGGCTCCTTGCAAGGTTATTTGAGGAACAGATCGGATCGAATTGGGGTTGGATACCATGTATGAGTCCCGGCACAGGATGGAGGACATGCGCGGTTCTTCCCAGAGCGGCCAGGAAATGGCACCGCGCTCTCGACATTCAGCGTCTGATCCCTTGAAGCAAGCACCCCGAATAGGTATCACAGCGGGCCAATGGCTCCTTTGGACCGATTGGCACTTATGCAAAGACTGGCTACTGAGTACAGAAAAACACGCAACCGACCGGGCGAATGAATCGGTCATGCATCAGCTACACCTACACCTACACCTACAGCACCAGCAGCGAGGCCGTGCTCGTTCTCGTGCTCGACCCCGTGCTCACCTTTCCCCTCCTCCTCTAATTACAAATTCGCCTGGATGACTCCCTGCCCCGCTGGTTCCGACACCGACCGCGACTCCGACTCGGCATACCTCAGGTCCAAGCCCTCCAGGTCGCCATTGTCCCGCCATTCCTTCAACAGCTTCAAGAACGCAGGTGCACCCCCTCCGTAGCTGGCGTTCTGGGCCACCGCGGCATCGGCGGTGCCCTCATTGTTATAATACCCCGGCGTGCACTCGGCGAGGAAGTCGGCCCTCAACTTGGCCATCTTCAAGATGGTGTCGATCCAGGCTTCCTCAGCCTCGAGCGTCGGCTCCACGGCGACGACGCCGCGCCTCTTGCACTCGGAGATGACGTACGCGAGATGCTCGGCCTGCTCGCCCGTGACGTGCAGAAAGTTGGGCGACAGCGCGGCCTGGACGATCTGCACCCAGAAACAATTGGGGAAGTGCCGGCTCGTCCAGCCGTGGAGGGTGCGGGTCCCTTGCTTCCAGGCGTCGGTGATGGTGCGGCCGCCGCGGCCGTAGATCTGCATGTTGGCGCGGTGCGCGTACTCGGTCGAGAGCTCGAAGCCCGTGGCGTAGACGAGCGTGTCAAGCTCGTACAGCTGGCCGTTGGCCACGACGCCGGTCTCGGTGATGGCGTCGACGCCCCGGCCCGCCGTGTCGACCAGGTGCACGGTCGGCCGGTTGAACGTCTGCAGGTACTCGTCGTGGAAGCAGGGCCGCTTGCACAGCTGGTTGTACCACGGCTTGAGGGCCGCGGCGGTGGCCGGGTCCTCGACGACGGCGTCGGCGCGCGCCCGCACCTGCTCCATCTTCTCGTAGTCGGCGATCTGGCGCTCGGCGGCCGCGCGGGCCGGGTCGATGGGCTCACCGTCCATGGTGGGCGTGGCCCGCGCGAGCAGCTTGTGCAGGATGTCGGTCCAGCCGTCCTGCACGAGGTCGACGTCGGTGATGCCGCCGTTGACGATGACGTTGAAGTTGTCCATGCGCTCCTTTTGCCAGCCGGGCTTCAGCGACGCCGCCCACGCCGGGTCCGTAGGCCTGTTGCCGCGCACGTCGATCGACGACGGCGTCCGCTGGAAGACGTACACCTCCTTCGCCCACTGGCCCAGGTGCGGCACGATCTGCACGGCCGTGGCGCCCGTGCCGATGATGCCCACGCGCTTGTCGCGCAGCTTGTGCAGGTTCCCCGTCGTGTCGCCGCCCGTGTAGTCGTAGTCCCAGCGCGACGAGTGGAACGAGTGGCCCTTGAACGACTCGATGCCCGGCAAGCCCGGGAGTTTGGGCCGATGCAGGGGCCCCGCGGCCGGGATCACGAAGCGCGACCGGATCGTGTCGCCGCGGTTCGTCTCGGTGGTCCACAGACAGGTCGCGTCGTCCCAGCGCATGCTGTGCGTCTCGGTCTGGAACAGGGCCTTGTCGTACAGCTTCCAGTGGCGGCCGATCATCTCGGCGTGGCGCAGCAGTTCGTTGGCCCGCGCGTACTTCTCCGTCGGCATGTAGCCCAGCTCCTCGAGCAGGGGCATGTAGATGTACGACTCGATGTCGCACTGCGCGCCCGGGTAGCGGTTCCAGTACCACGTGCCGCCAAAGTCGCCGGCCTTTTCAATGATGCGGATCTTGTCGATCCCGGCCTCGATCAGCCGCACGGCCACGAGCTGCGCGCCGTAGCCGCCGCCGATGATCACCACGTCGACCTGCTCGTCGACGGGATCGCGCGTGAAGCCCGGCTGGACCCACGGGTCGCGCAGGTAGTGCGCAAAGGGCCCGTCGTGCTCGACCAGCCGATACTGGGCGATGCCGCCTTTCGCCTGGCCATACTTGAGCCGTTTGTCGCGTTCTTCGATGTACTTGTTCCGCAGCGCGTCCGGGTCGAAGGGGAGGTCCTTGGGTTTGGCGGCCAGTGAGATGTCGGAGTCCAGCGCTGTCTGGGGAGGCTTGGGCCCTAGAAGGTCTGATGGGGCGAGGGTCTTGACGTCGGCCATGTCGGTTGGAGTGAAGCTCTTCTTGGGTGAATAGGCTTCTTGGTGGCAGTGGCAGTCCTCACGACAACGAGCCGTGACCGGTCTCCGATTTGTTGCTGAAGTCCTCGAATCACCTGCTGCCGGTGATGGGGAGGGATATCTAGTCCAGTTTCTTCAGGGCCGTGCAACCGAGTCTGATAGTCAGTCAGCCAGCCAGCCACTCTGCTGCCAGATGTCAGTCAGCGTATCAAAACGGGTCGATGTCGACGTACTCATACGACACGATCGACGGGGGGGGAAAGAGTCGATGTATAACACCCAGATATCGTATCGTCCAGGTAAACTTAGGGATATGTGCCCGACTGTGTCCTGAATCATGCCGCGGCGTGTTCGCGGTTATGTATCATGCATCTTGATCCCCCCCCCCGCCTTTGTGCATTTGTATCCGAATGGGCCAAGGCCTCTCACTTTACCGAACCGAGGCCTGGAATGCGACCCTGGTAGACGATGGTGCAGAGGATGTGATGGTAATCCGAGCTCGTGTCCTCGACATGGTGTTGGGCGCACAGGAGTGACTGGACAAAGGATGACTAGACGTTGTCTCCTGTGCCAACCACGACGCTCCCTACCTCGGCAGCGTCTGTACTGTAGTGGAGAGCTGTAGTTACAAGTACACTAATTAGTCGAGGCTCAACAGGATGACCTCGCTTCCCGCTTCCAGCTTCTTGTGGGGTCGGTTCTTATGCGATGCTCCGCACTCGGTATGCAGGTATGTATATTGTCGTGTCGGTTGACTCGCGAGGGGGTCTGCTGGAAATAGTCCCACGCAGAGTCAGAATAGTGGTTACACAGGTACACAGCTACACAGAACGTGTCATCGATAGACCATCACGGATCTAACAGTCAGCCCAGGCGAGACAGTCATCGACCACCCTTTGAATAACACCTGCAAAGCCAACCAACATGCAGAGCAACGGAGACGTATCCAGGTCGTCGTCGGCACCCGTGGCCTACATCACCGGCGGAGCCAGCGGGATGGGCCTGGCCGTGGCGCAAGAACTGAGCGCCCAAGGCTGGAACCTGACCATCGTCGACCTGAACCAGGCGTCGATATCCTCGGCCCAGCAGCACCTTGACGCCGCGCGGACCCTCTTCGTCAACGCCGACGTGACCGACTATGAAGCCCAAGGCCGCGCCTTCCTGGCCACGTGGGACAAATGGAAGCGGCTCGACCTCGTGTTCGCGAACGCCGGCATAGGCGACCGGATGAACTTCTACGCGCCGGCCACGACATGCCACCCAAACCTGCCCGGGATCCCTGCGAAGCCGAACGAGCTGGTCATCGACATCTGCCTGAACGCCATGGTGTATAGCGCGTATCTGGGCCTACATTTCTTCCGGCAGAATCCGTCAAAGGGAGGCAAGATTGTCTTTACGTCGTCCATGTGCGGGTAAGGAAGAACTCCGCGGCGAGCGGGCATTCCGTCCGTCTGTCTTCATCCTATTCAGTTTCCCCTCTGAGATCGTCGTCGTCGACGTCGTGGTGGTGGTGGTTGCTGTTGTGTTATGTTGTGTTATGGTTGTGCTTGTACTCAGTCCAGTCACGCATACTCCGTACAGTGTAGAGAGAGAAACGCACACACATACACACACACACACACACACACACACACACACACACACACACACACACACACACACACTCTTACACTTTAAACAGGCTGTACCCCGGCGACAACATCCCCCTGTACACGGCGGCGAAACATGGCATTGTGGGACTGACGCGCGCCATGGCCCGACGGTTGAGCATGCTCGGCGAACCCATCACCGTCAATTGTATCTGTCCCGGGCTCGTCGACACCGGGTTGACGCCCGCGCTGATGGCCGTCGCGCCGCCGGAATACGTGACGCCCAAAGCGACCATCGTGCGGGCCGTCATGGGGTTTGTCAAGGGCGACGATGCCGCGTCGGGCCAAGTCGCCGAGTGTAGTGTCGACAAGATCCATTACAGGGAGCAGCCTGCCTGGGGAGACGAGGCGGCCGAGTGGATCATGACGAACAAGCTGGAGGCCGAGATGAAGAGGAGGGGTATGAAGGTGTGAATTATGAAGTTGCTGGGTGAAGACGTCGAGAGGGTTAAGCGCGGCAGATTAACTTGAACCACGTATGCCAGTACTGGTACTGGTACTGGTACTGGTACTCCTACTCCTACTGGTACTCCGTGCTTTGATGCGAAGTGTCTGTAGTGCCTGTAGTGTCTGGAGTGTCCGTACTCGCCGAATCTTGATGATATCGGCGTCTTTCCGAGGGGATTCAAAGTCGAGCTTCAGGTTCAGGGAAAGGGGGTCCATTTGTAGGCTTCAGTACGGAGGACAGTACCAAGGAGCCACCACACCCCCCCTCGCCCCCTGATAAGGCCCCCTGCGCACGCTGGGCTCCCGGGGGCCATGCATCCAGCTTGTTTTGTCCTGAACATGTACTCCGTAGTGGACAGAGTACCCCCTCGTACAGCAAGGCGCCTCTCACTGTCCCTGTGACTGCCCCAGTGTCAGAGCACGACCCAGAATGTGTCACCATCACACCATTCCATTCCAGCCAGGCCTAGATTAATTAGCGAAGCCTTGCATGCCACACCATGCCATGCCGTTGCGAATGATGGACGCGCGGGGCCAAATGTCCCTCGGCGGCGCACTCACTATGTTGCTGCTTCTTAACTTCGCGTCCTCAACAAACTCCGCCAGAATAATGCTTGCGCAGTAATACTGTACGGTGTTTGCAGGAGCATCATTCACGGCCCAGAGACGCCGAATGCTAATTAACAAGACGGCCACAGTCACAAGCCAGAACATTGTCCGTACTAGTACTACATCTGGAACACATACTACAGTCACGCGAGAATGGATCATCTGTACGAGAACGACCGCGGCAGTCAAGGAGGCAGCATTGTCGCCTCATGCGCGCCGATCCAGGTGCCCTTCCTGTGCGAGTACGAGTATGACCACGACTGCGAGTTCACAGAGTATCCCAGCCAGAAGGGGTTCGACAAACACAAGTTCCTCGGTCTGGATTTCAGCCAAAGACCGCCGGACGAGACGGCCTCGTTCCTCCAGACATGGCTGTACTTTGGCCTGCTGGGCCGCGTGCTGCGCGTCCCCCTGACGATGGAAGACTTTGTCGACCGCACGTCCACTCCGCCCACGATAACCACTCGGCGCAGCCTGCCATCTTACCTCGAAGCGTGGGCGAAGAAAGTCAAGGCGAAACACGTCCAGCAGATGGAAGCCGATCTGGAAGAGGCGAGATCGTTCGTGCTTTGTATGCTCGAAGCCGGTCACGCCTGCCCGCTGCCCAAGGAGGTGGTCCTCTCCATCATGGTCCTCGGGGCCACATTGAGCTTTGCCATTGACTTGAAGATCGAGAGCTTCCCGCCCAAGAACAAGACCGTGATAGCCGATTGGGGCATGTCTCCTCTCATCACGGCCAGACTCGTCCGGAATGGCTGGTGTATCAACGACGTGCACCGCCTCTGCGACACCGTCAGTCCGCCGACCGCGTTGCTGGCCGCCGACATCGTGAGGCAGGAAGTGGTGTCCAGGGAGACACACGACGTTTGTTCGCCGGCCGGCTGCATTTCACGCAACATCGATGAGTCGACGTACGAGACCAAGCACGTCGATCCCGGTTGCCAGTGCGACTCGGTCGCGGCGCCTGTTGATCAGGTAAAAGCAATTCTCGACCAAGGGGACGTCCCCGTCATTCTGGTTCGGGAGGAGGGAGGTGGCCATATTCTGGGCCTCGAGGCCTCATCCTCCCGAAAGACCAAATTTATCGCCATCTCGCACGTCTGGGCTGACGGCCTTGGGTGTACGACGGGGAACTCGTTGCCGAGCTGCCAACTGCTTCGCCTCCACCGTATGTGCAGCGACCTGTTTCCCGAACGGACAGGAGCATCGCGGCTCTTCCGGCGAGCAGACGCCCCGCTGGGTCTGTGGATTGACACGTTGTGTATTCCGAGAGAGAAGGCGCACCGTCGCTTGGCGATTGCCCGGATGTCGGCCACTTACGCGGGGGCGGCCAAAGTGCTGATTCTGGACTCGGAGCTGTTGAGCTTGACCAAAGACATGCCTGAAAGGACCATTCTCCTTCGCTTGATCGGTAGCAGCTGGGACCGTCGCGTCTGGACAATGCAGGAAGGTGCCCTAGGCGCCAGCGGACTCCATGTGAAGTTGGCAGATGGGGTTTTGGACGTTTCAGACGCCGTCAAGAGACTGCAGAAATCCTCCGGCTCCGGGAGCCTTGCAACGGCCGTGGTCGACCGAGACGCGACGATCCTCTTCCAGGAGTTTGAGCAGCTGCGCAAAGCACACTCGAAGAGTTACTGGCGTGACGGTGTCCCAGCGATCGCTGCTTCATTGCGGATCTTGAACGGCCGTTCCACATCCAAGGAGGGTGACGCATATATATGCCTTGCCGGTATGATGGCACTCGAAGGCGACATCATCAAAGACCTTGATGCGACGCCCGTGCAAGAGCGGACCAGAAAGCTGCTGTCAAGCGTCCGGTATCTTCCCAAGAACATCATCTTCTCGCCTGGGGTCAAATTGGAAGAGGAGGGCTTTCGCTGGGCTTGCGCCTCGTTCTGGAAGTCAAAGTTCACCTTCAATGAGCTCAATGAGGTGGCTGAAATCCGAGAAGGCCTTGGTCTGCGCGTCGAGTTTCAAGGTTTCGAGATAGAGGCGGTCCCGCTGCGCGATAATTACTTCCTGTTCCAGTCTGTTCATACCAAGATCTGGTACAGGGCAACACTCGACGGATCCACGCCGTTGTCGCGACCCACCAACATAGCCCCGGGTTCAACCCTCGGTATCCTGTGTCCAGAGCGCGATATCATCCGCCGAGGAGCGGGAGGCCGACAAGTCCCTGCGGCTCTTGTCTTGATCACGGCGAGAAAGTCGGGTCTGAAGGACATGTTCAGCAAGGATGCCAATGCCCTCCACTGCACGTACATTTCTCAAGTTGTTCTTTCGACGCCCACCGCTGCTGACATGGGAGGGGACGCATGCCGTACGCTCGCTCGCCGACCAAATAATACCCAAGAGCCGCCCGGGATGGGCATCGTGTACACTCCGCAGATCTGGTACGTATCATGAGGTGCTGCCGACTGTGGGATGTACATTCTAGCATTCGAGCTGACCAATCTCAAGCTGGTGCATGGAACGCTTGATTCCTGGGCGACCTCGCAACCAAAGACGCATGCTGGCACCTTTAGATGATCCGGAACCGCTGCTACAACTGTGACAGTTCGCTCTTGACCAAATGAACCTCCCTGAGGGGTACCACCGCGAGGCAAAGTGTCTTCAGAAGGATCAAAGATTGGACAGACATGCAGGGCCATGTGATCGGTGCGCAATCGGTGTGCCGGCTGGCCCGTCGCCATCAACCTCAACCACCAGCCCGGTCTGGAAGATCCCCGGGTTGCCCACATTTTGCCTTGTGTCTCATGTGGGGACCTTCGACTGCTGCGTCGGACTGCGGGCATACGAGACATAAAGTCGCAACCCCCTCATCTATAAGTCGGGCTATGGACCACCCAGGCGCGTCGAGGCAGAGCAGACTGCTGACCTGTGGTGGTGCTCCTATACACACCTATTGTAGGTGATCTTGCCGAAATGGACGTTGTTCCAGCAATATGGTATCTTGGCGGCGCCCTCCTACTATGGGCCCTGGTCGATTGTGTTCAGACGGCCCTACGACCAGGTCTTCGAAGACTGCCAGGCCCGGTGTCCGCGCGGTTCTTCCGATTCTACCGAGCCTCTCTGGTCTTTGGAGGAGAGGCACCGGAGAAGTACAGACAGGCTCACGAACGATACGGCCCTGTCGTTCGAGTTGGCCCGAATCATGTGTCTATCTCAGACCCATCTGCGATCCCGCTCATCTACGGCATCGGCCTTGGAAACAAATTTCTGAAGACAAACTTCTACGACACCATGAGCCCGTTCTACCAAGGCAAAGTCATGCCCAGCGTCTTCACGGAGCGTGACTCCGACGTCCACCGCAACTTGAAAAGACCCGTCGCCCAGCTGTTCAGCATGACGAATATGCGGAACTACGAGCCATATGCCGACCAGTGCACCGGCATCTTCATCGAAGCCATGCGTGACCTGGAGGGTCAACCAATCGATCTGGGTGCTTGGGTGCAGTGGTACGCCTTTGACGTGATCGCCTGCATGACCTTTCAACGTCGATTCGGATTCTTGGAACAGCGCCGGGACGTCGACAGAATGGTTGGCGACCTTGACAGCGTGCTGCACTATGTCAAAATCATCGGCCAGTATCCCGAGTTGCACCCGTACTTACTCGGCAATGAGAGCCTGGTGCGGACTCTGAAATGGTTGTTCCCCCAGATACCGGATCCTTTGCACAGTTTTCTCAAGGTCATTTTCATCGACCCCACAGGCTGTCGGTGCATACTGATCATGGGCGCAGATCACCGAGGATGAAATCGCGCGGTATGACAACCAGCGAGGAGAGCGGACCGGCCGAACCGATTTCCTCGCTCAGCTCAGAGAAAAGGAGTCCAAGGACGGACAAATTCCTCACAGGGACATGATGAACCATCTGGCCAACAATCTCGTTGAGTCTCACCACAAACTCGATCCTCGAGCCGTAGTGCACATCATATGCTAACTTCTTCGCCATACGGTAGCTTGCGGGATCGGACACCACGGCCGTGTCACTGCGCGCATGCTTCTACTACCTCATCAAAACGCCCGCGGCATATAAGCAGCTGGTGGCAGAAATCGACGCGGCAGAGAAACAGGGGCAGCTTTCACCTTATATTTCGTACGAGGAATGTCTCAAACTGCCGTACTTGTATGCCCCTGGAGACCGAGCCGTCCCTTCACTCAACTGACGCATCCCAGACAAGCCGTGATGAAAGAAGCCATGCGGCTACACCCCGGGGTCGCGTACCCGTTGGAGAGATACGTCCCTCCCGAGGGTGCAACGATCTGCGGCGTCGAGCTGCCGGGCGGCACGAACGTCAGCATCACGGCACCGGTTGTGCACCTGGATAAGACGGTGTATGGCGAAGATGCGGACGTCTTTCGACCAGAGAGGTGGCTGGACGCGGAGCCCGAGCGGCTGAAACTGATGGAGAGGAGCTTCCTTGCGGTGAGTCTGCTCACATTTGCATTGTTTATCCCTTCGACGCTGGTCAGGTTTTCATCGTTAGCACTCCGGAAGCTGTTCTTTCTGCGTCATCGTCACTCCGAACGCTGTCCATTCTGTACTATCGTCATTCCTGATGGAGTCTTCTGACCGACCGACTAACTGACTGACGATTTCGCAGTTCGGTGCCGGAGCACGGACCTGCATCGGCAAGAACATATCCATCCTCGAGATGGGCAAATTCATCCCTCAGATCCTGCGACATTTCGATCTCGAGTGGGCGGCCGATCACCCCGAGTGGAGGACCGAGGCCGTCTGGTTCTGGAAACAGGCCGGGGTCATAGTCAGATTCAAATGGCGGGGCAAGTCTTAGGGCCGCAGGAAATGATCTGCAGGAGTCGGGGACAGGTCAATCAATCGATGCGAGGAGAGAGGAGAGAGGACAGTTTGGAGCGGTTGAACTCCGGTCTGAAGACTGAGCAAAATTGACAATTGTATGAAATGTACAAGTTACGGTACGTGCAGTTGTGGTCACCCGTAGCAAAGGCCCAGAGCAGCTCACGCTGCTCTTGGTGTCTCAATACTCGGCTGTAGTGGTTCCGACCCCGCCTCGCCCACACAGTCCTGCATGAGTTTCGTGCTTTTGACGCTTCGTGCTCAAACGCGATCAAAACAGAAAGGTATGGAGGTAATCGAGGTCTACTTGGGAGCTGGCCACAACAACTCGACCCTCGTCTTCACCGGCCTGCCTTTTACAGTACTGGTGCTGCAATGGCATAACGGGTATCTACCCTTCTGTCCCCTCCCAAACGCTGTGCATGCGCATCGGTTCACAAGCTTTATGTATACGTGTGTCGAAACAAGCACCCACGCACCGTTCGACAGAGTACCGTGAGTACTGTACCAGCGGGAGCTGCAGTGCAGTGGTGAACAACACCAGGTAACTGTCCGGTTGCATGATTTCGCCGGACTCAATTTAGCTTGACCACTCCATGTCAAAACCAAGTCTTGTCCGTATTCCTGAGTAACACATTACGAGCACAATGCTGGATGACAAGTGACTAAACCAATATCCAATGTAATTACCAACGGCCTGGGGAGCGAGCATACCATAATACCCTATCCTCGCTTCTTGTAGTCATCAAGGTCGACCACGTCCACCTCGTTGGCAGACTCATCTCAAGTGACTACCAGGCAATATTTCCAGGTGGCAATCTGCAATTCACAACTTGCAAGTACCGCGAAACAGCGGTCGTGGAAGGATGGCAAGCATCAATGCACCCACCATGGCTTGCACGTGATCGAGGGGAGATGCCGATGCAGCTACTTAACAAATGGCACGAAGTGGGCGCATCGGTCGGTGGGAGACATTTGGAGTTTGAAGATGGAAGATTCAAACTCAAAATTCGACCATGACTGAACCCACACCGCCGTGGGGACTTTGACTTGGCTTTGCTGGGTCGTACGTGGCCATTCTCAGTCCCCAGAGGGAATCCTGTGTACTGTAAAAGCAGGTCGGAGTACGAGGTTACTGATGGGTGGTTGACGGCCTCAACTGGACCTACGTTGGCCATACTCTGCTCTTCGTACTCCGTACCTGTTCAATACTATTGTCAAGAGGGAGCGGGCTGCAAATCTCCGGGACGCTCATGGTTTTGACTAGGTACACGGTACGAGGTACCCTGTTTTGGGACGCTGTACCTTTACGTACAATGCTGGGTCTGAACATTGGATGGGTCTGTGTTATTGGACGACTCGCGCAGTAGAATCTGTCATATGCAAATTTAAGTTGGAGACCAGCCGAAGAAAGTCAGTGGCGGTCTTGGGACGGAGGAAGACGCAGAACAAGCAACAGAGTTTGGGACTTGCATGCACCACGGCAGCCACGCACGAACGAATGACGCTTGAGAGGAGGTGAGGGGTAGGAAGCATCGTTCTCGAAGAGATACCTCGTTAGACTGGTCGAGTGGACATGTCGACGAATGGTCGGCTCCTTGAAGAACACTCCGTACGAAGCAAGACATATCCAAGGTAAAACCATGGACATGAGTGTGCTGCTGGAGAACGGAAGACTCGACCAGGCGTGGCAGGACACGGGTGAGTCCTCGTGGCATGCAGATGTACGTACGGAATAGTCGCTTGGATCGAACTCATCGCTTGGCAGTCCCGCTCGCAAGCCTGGCTAATTGACTGACTGGCTGCCTGCCCTGCCTGGCCGTCCAGCAGAAAAGCGGCCGGCAAGTTGCAACACGGGTCGATGATAATCTCGCCAACGAGCTGCTCCCGGTCGTCGCCGTGTAGGCGATGACTCGGAGCGGGAAGCGATCTTCGCAGCTGGAAGCGACACGAGCTGCTTGTCTGGGCAAGCGATGTTTCACCAACAGCAGCACCGTCCCGAGACAGACCATTTTCCACCGCTTAGAGCCGTGCGATCGAGATATCTCTTGGATCACAAAGGCGGTTGACGAATGCAATAGCCGAGTGCAAAGGACGAAGAAGCGCCCACTGTGGACACAAACTCCAACACTGTTTGCCGAGAAATGATGCATTTAGGATGAAGATGAGTCTGGAGCCCTTGCTTGTCCACCTTGTCGGCCCGGGACTGAATTGGCAGGGGGAAAGATTGTGAACAGGACCTGCTCTGGGCTTCTGGCGCAATTCGCACCACCACAGGAGGTCGAATCCCAAAATGCCAGCTTTGCGTGGATTTCTAAACGCCTAGAAAGTCAAAATTAGAGGGAGTCAAGGTTTGGAAATCCGAAATCCGCGCTTGTGCCACTACTGTTGGGGACCCTGCGATCGAGATGGAGCATCAGGAAGGCCAGGTATCCGTGCCTTGCATATGGGGTAAGACGGCACCAGCAGCTCTGATCCTTCAGATGGATCAGACCTGGCAGCGTGGCACCGGCGTGGGAAAATCCCTAACTGGGGGATGGGTTAGAGCGCAGATTAGACTTTGCTAGCTCACACGCTTTCTGATCAAAGCATGGGTCCAAGAGCACTTCGCCTGCGAATGCCCAATGGCACGTTTGGGGGAAACAGTTTCCGCGTGGCCAATGAATCATCGATGTGTCCAAAAGGGCAGGAAGGTCGATTACAGGCTGTGCTGGTTGAGTCCAGGCTGGTGAAGTCGTCGCCCTGCGGACGCTTGGTCGAGATTGCAAGCCATGTGTTTGAAATCTTCCGGCCATGAACCGCCGACGAGTCAGCTACCGACGTGCACACGGCTGATGAGCCTCGTATCTGCGCATGGTCTCTTGGCCCCCGCGTTAGCCTGGAACTATGCAGATGTCGAACAGACAAATAGCTCTGCTGCTCGCTTAGGAGCTGCAGAACGGGGAGCCAAGCAGGGAACCATTATTGCGAGCATGGTCGAGTTGTCCTTCCCTTGGCAGAGAAGGTCCTGTTCGAGACGCCGGGTTCTTCAGGGGCAGCCGATCAGGTACCCCATACTGCCACCAATGCGCGTGGCTGCGAGCTCGTGCCTGGCGTCTTCCCAGATTCGGAATCTTCTGATGGTCGTGCCGGAACTTCCAGACCACCCACCAAATGCCCTAGAAGTTCCAGGAGCTGGTACCTGCGCATCGACTGCATGGTTTGGTGTCCCAACGTGTTCCGCTGCCCCGGAGGGTTCACCCATGGAATATCGAATGAGACGAGGCTGGTTTGCCCGCCAGAACGTGCCTTCCTCGACTATTGAAGCACAAGCGGCCAGGAAGATTCTTCTAATAGGACAACTGCTGGCTATGGGTTCGCCCTCAGGTACAGTGGGTTTGCATACCGTCTGCGCTAATTGTTCCTGAAGCCATGGTACAGGTTGTTGGCTGCATCGAGAAACGTGTCAAGGAAGCCAAATGGCAGGTGCAACATGTGAACCCTGCTTCCTGGTTCGATGGCACGCCGCTACAGCGGTTCATGATAACAAACCTGGGTCCTGTGGAGAATGCCTGTGCATGTGGTACCATGAAGATGGTATGAGTATCCGCCTTGGATGGCTAGACCGAGCTGTGGTTGATCGACGATAGGAACCCACTCACTTCGACTCGGCGGCCGTTGGCCTCATCGAGGTATTGGTCTTGCAGAAGGTCAAGAGATAAAGAAGGGCTGGCGCATCTCCCGCCCCTCCATCCTCTCCAGAGGCTTTTGAGTCGACCAGCTCGGTCTTGCTCCTTTGGCCCTTGCACTGCTGCCCCCATCCCTTCTTGAAGCCAAAGGCTCGCTCTGCTTCTCTCAGCTCAATCCAACATGGCGCCAAAGAAGGGTAAAGAGTCCCTTTTGGACCTCTGTTCGCGCGCCACGACACAAGGCAACAGCATATCGGTGCGCATGCTCGAATACCTGAGCACTGTCAAGGAACCGCCTCATGGCTTTCGCGAGCTGGCAATCAACTTCCTCGACATTTGCCGTGTGCTCTACTCCATCGAAGCCGGTCTGTCTGCGGCTTCGCGGGCACACAGTCAGTTCCCCAATGACATGCAACAGGAGCTGGACAAAAAGTTCCGGCAAACCGCCGATGACTTCATCGTTCTCAACCAGATGCTCGTCAAGTTTCTGGAGTACGAGAAGAAGGGGGGCTTGGGGAAACTCAAGAAAGGATGGCACATGATGTTCGCCGACACGGACATCCACAAGATGAGAGATTCGCTCGCCAAGAGTCGAGACGCCTTGGGCATGAGCGCCATGGTATTCCGATGGTACCTTGGGGACGCAAAAGCCGACGAATCTCTCGGGATCGGCTACACAGGACTCGCTGCCGTTCTCGAGCGCATGAGCCCCTCCTCTGCCAGACAAGCATCACCAACGGCGGTCAAGCCTGCACTCTCTCCGTCGGCTTTTCCTCCACCAGCTTCCGATATTGCGACTCAGCTGCCACCGTTGCCAGCATTACCGATTGTGGAGAAACTGTCCCTGTCGGAGAAGATATCAGATTCGAATCTGCTGGCTCGCCTCGAGCAAGACCCAGACACGCTGTCGGCTCTACCGAGCAATTCTAGGCATAGTTTCAGCCGACCGGCGCCGAGCACCAGATCCAGCAAGATGACAGTGAACTCTGCTACACGAGATCTTGCCGCCCTCAAGGACGAAAGCTCGCGGACCGAGACTGCTGTCGACGACCACTTATCCGTCAATACAGCAGATTCGTTTGCCCAGATCGAAGACATGATCCATGAGATCGGGCAGGATAAGTCCTCCTCACCCGGGTCTCGTGTGAAGGCAGACCCAGCTACAGTGCCGCGCTGGACCCCCAAGCAAACTTCAGGGGCCAATTCCGCAGCCCTCAAGTCGACATTGTTGAACGCGGTCCAGCAGAAGAAGCATAAGCTGGTAGAGCAGCTCCTGGATTGCGGCGTCTCTCCCGACGGTGAAAATGGACACAACCTTCTGCGAGAGGCTGTTCTTCAGCGGGACACCGAGAGCATCCGACTGCTGTTGCTCTTTGGCGGCGACCCGAATGGGCTCGACAGGAACAGACACAGCCCTCTTCTGACGGCAACAGAGCTGTCGTTCCTCGACGCCGTCAAGCTGCTCCTCAAGTACGGCGCTGATCCCAACCTCCCAGCTGGCCCGGATGCAGAATGTCCCCTGGCACTGGCCGTCATTGAGCACAAGTTGGAGTTGGTGAAGCTCTATCTCACGTATGGAGGGGATGCCAACCTGACCACTTCTGACAATGATACCCTGCTGCACAAAGCCATCAACAAAAAGAACCCCAAGCAGCTGGCTGAGCTTCTGATCGAATATGGTGCCGACGTCAACGGCAAAAACGCCGAGGGAGAGACGTCTCTTTTCGCAGCCATCCAGGCGAAAAGGCTCGATCTCATGTTGGTCCTCCTTGACAGTGGAGCCAATCCTAATCTCCCCGGTCCAAAGCACCTCCTGTGGCCGTCGACCTATCAGCCCAAAGCACTTCAGCTCCTGCTTTCGCGGGGCGCTGATACCAAGAAGTGTCCAGGCCTCCTCGAGCTCGCCACCAGTCTCAACAATGTAGAGTCGGTCAACATTCTGCTCAAGGCTGGAGTGGACCCCAATGCCAGGAAGGATGGCGTTTATACGCCGCTCTGCTCCGCCATCCGCGACAACCGCAGCGAGCTTGTTTCACTACTCCTCGCCAATGGCGCCGACGCCAACGTGATGGCCTCGGAGTATCCGGCCTTCAAATGTGTGACTCATCATCGCACCCATTTCCTTCCACAGCTTCTGGCTGCGGGGGCCAATCTGCACAAGCCTCGGGGCATCATCGAGAAAGCCGTCGCGCATAACAACAGGGATGCATTCATGTGGTTACTGGATCAGAATGTCAGCCCTAATGACAGGAGTGCCGAAGGGTATACTCCATTGACTACGGCAATCCGTGATGATCGCATCGAATTCGTCGACCTTCTGCTTGCGAACGGCGCAGACCCGGGAATCCGAGGTCAGGATTGGCCTATCTGCATGGCGGTGAAGAGACCCGAGATTCTCCGCAAGATTCTACCTGCAATGCACAATCCACGGGCGGTCAAGGGTGTCATGGAAATGGCCGTGGTCGCCAACCAGCTGGAGAGCATCAAGCTCCTCTTGAAAGCCGGCATCAGCATTGAAGACAAGACCGGCGGTGTCTTCTCGCCGCTGACGACTGCGCTTCGAGAACAAAACAAGGAAATCGTCCGGTTCTTGGTCTACGAAGCCAACGCCGACGTCAATGCGCCTGGCGAGCACCTGCCTATCATCAAGGCCATTCGCAGGTGTCCTCCCAACGATACCGAAATGATTGAAATGTTGTTGGACAAGGGCGCGGATATCAACTACATGTACCGCGGCTGGAACGCTGTGCTCCAGGCGGTGGAATCGGCCGATGCCAAGATCCTGAAGATCCTCGTCGAGAAGGGCAATGGTGTCGACCTTCAAGTCCGAGACGACTCTGGCAGAACGGTGATGGAAATCGTGGAAGACCGCGGCTGGGATGAAGCCGTCAACATCTTGCTCGGTCGATCGGGCAGCCCGGCCAGTAGATGACTGGAAGGACGGAAAAGCAGCACAGAACGCCCGGATTCACTGCACGGCGTTGATTTTGGGAGTGAGATCTTTCGGTCGCTTCAGCAATGGTTCCCTTCTGTTGAACGAGGGTAATGAAGGAGGTCTTTTGTCATTTCGTCGTCTGTACCGCACTGTTGTATTGCACTGTACCATAGTCGACTCCGTTTCCTTTGTCACATAGTCTGCAGATACCCAACAAGTCCATTGAGAGGCGATTGATTCGACGCATCTAGGAGCGCCACTATTCACATGACAGCATGCGGTTGGTAAGCTGACTGACGTCTCGCGGCTGACGGACGTATCTGCACAGGATCAGTCGATCCTGCGTACCCTGGTTAGCATCCAGACCAGGAGCTGCTGAACCGTTGCTGACAACTCACAAGCATGATTACCAGAGACCTACACCTGCTCGGACTCGTGGATAGCAGAATACCCTACTGGCGTAGAGTAGCGCCTGCGTCGTGCAACTCCAGAAGCTCGGCTGCCGGCTCGATGTGCTGATGCGGGGACCTGTAGTGCCTGTCTAGACCCCTTCGATGCTGCGTGTACTCATTCATTGGACGGGAGGGTTGGGCGATCAGATCAGGCTAATTGCGGTCCCTTGAAAGTATCGAGTAACACGTTCAAGTAGCCCTCGATGGTGACGCACGACGACGAGGCTCTAATTTTCATTCCGTTCCGCGGGATCCAAAGTCCGGAGGTCCATCTTCGACTCTGACAGTTCGAGTAGAGAGTAGGACTGTCATGATGTAAACGACCGCTTGAAAATTCCGGAGAATTCAGAAGGCGAGGACATGACGTTCATCTTGTTCACGGCTCTCCGCCAGCTCACCCTGACGAAATGCTCAGAATGCCCACGGGGAATGATTCCTGCCTGCCTGGGCACACTGCGTAAGGTTGTGTCACTGTGTTTACTTGGGTTTGTATGACGCGAGTGTGTGTCAAAAAGGAAGAGCGATCTAAAGGGTCCAAGTTGGGCTTTCGTCAACGTGCTCCTTCACTGTTCACTTCACCCTCAGTTACTTCATTACTTCACAGTTTTCTCACTCTCTCAGTATCTTTACTGGGTGATTCTCCTGAATTACCACACACTATCCGAAAAGTACTTGGTACTTCTGCGTCCTCAATACGCCGATACAGCAATACACCGATCAACACAGGACACCGTCGAGCAGAGAAGCCTGATTGTGCCCGTTTCGTCAATTTGACATCCCAGTCAATCATCATGGTCCCACGCACAGCACTGCAAATGCGGCTGCCGATACAGGGGTTAAAGCCAGCCGCGCGATCAAACCACTTCCTCCGGACCCAGCGCCTTCAACTTCAATCACGAAGAACATACGCCGAGAAAGCAGCGCCAGTGCGATCGGACCAGCCTCGAGACTGGACGAGCAGGTTACCTCTGTGAGTGTGCTAAATCTTCTCTACCATGTCATTCTACCATGGACGATATGCACTGCTGTATGAGCTACAGTGTGTAAGACCCACGAACTTCAACACATGCAGATATAAGAGGATCTTAGGAGAGATACTCTTCAGCTTGGATATGCACATACAGAGCTCATCTCATTTCATTTCACTCAATTTTCACTTCGTTCGCAGTTCGCCTGACACTCTGTTCACCAAAACAATACTAATTCCGACTCATAGGATCCTCCTCGCCGGCGTGGCAGCATACCTCCCGTTCTACTACCTCTCGCACACAGACAAGCCTGGCGCAAGCGAGAACGCCAAGATGACAGAGGCGAGGAGACAGGGCAATCCGGCGAACGAGCGCCGCGACCCGAGGGATAGTTCGGTCAAAACGATAGAGCAGAAGAGAGAGCGAGACGGGGTGGACCATAGGAGTGAGGAGAGGAAGAGGGCCGAAGGCTGAGGATGAGGGTTGAATAATTGAATCTATGGTCGAGTACCGTGGTGTGTAGGTGGACTGTCTGGCTTCCGTACCGACAGGCCGACCGAAGACGAAGAAGGGTTTCGAACAGAAGATGCTGGACATCGGTGCAGCGTCATGGTTACGCAGATCAGCACGTCTGTTGAGACAAAGCGAGTAAATATACTTACGACGCCGTACTTGGACCTCCATCAAGAGACGCACACCACTGTACAGTACATAAAGTTCTATGCATATGCGTTTGTCCACCAGGATGTTCACGGTTGCGTAGAAGTTTACACGGGACGTAGGTGTTTGCCTTGTACAATAAAATGTCGATCTCATCTCTCTATAGCCAACACATTCCTAGGCTCAGAATCGCAGTAACGACTAGACCTCCCGCCAAGTTTCCACGGATGGACGAGCCTGCGCTGTTGGGGCCTCCATTGTCACCTCCGCCGCCGGTGCCGCCACTGCCATTGGCGCTTGTGCCATTCGCACCCACCAGATCAGGAAACAAGGACGCGGTGTAATTGGTAATGACGATATAGTCGCGCACCAGCGCGGAACCATCAGCCAAGGCATCGAGCTCGGCCTCCTCACACGTAGCCGACGGATTATACGCGTAACACACAGGCGGGTCGCTCTGGGGCGCGACATGTTTCACGGCCCACGTATTCGCCATGCCCTCGGTGGCATACGAGGCGTTGCTCGCGGTGTCGGCCGTGCCCGTGGCGATGTCGCGGTTGAACAGCGCGCGGCGGAAGATCTCGTACGCCGTCTCGGGCTGGTAGGCGGGGACTTCGTGGCCCGCCTGGAAGACGCGCGTGAAGCTGAAGTTGCCGGCCTGTCGGACCAGGCCGCCCACGTAGGTCGAGTTGACCGTCACGTTGGCGTAGCCCGCGTTGGCGAACGCGAGACTTCCGGAGTGGTTGACAGCCAGGGAGACGGCCTCGCCGCCGATCCAGTTGCAGGCGTAGTCGCGGTCGCCGAACACGAGGGCGACCTTGATGCCCGCGTCGATCAGCGCCGAGAGGTCCTCGAGGTACCCGCCGCGCGGGTAGTCGCCTGTGTTTTGGAAGGCGTAATACGCCGCGTTGCCGCCGGGATTGGTGTAGTTGACTGGGACGCCGAGCGCGGCTTGCACGTGCGGCTGGTTGAGGTAGCCGATGTAGTAGTTCGGGGGGAAGGGGTCCGGGTCGATGGCCGAGATGTCGTAGTAATTCCGGCCGGAGAGCTCGACGTAAGGCCCCTCGATGTCCCATGTTGCGTCGTTGGCGGTCGCGCAGGCTTCGTTGACGGTCGCATTGTTGCCCTGGTTCTCCGAGTCCCCTTCTGCCGCTAGGGCTCTGCAGATTTCTATCAGCTCGCGCACGCCGCCGGGTTCCGTGAACCTCGCCAAGATGGCGTCGTAGATGGTACGGTTGATGGCCTGGATGTCGTACGTGTTATTGAACGCCATCTCGGGATAGCTCGGTTCCTGGACCAGCGTGTCGATGCAGCCGTTGATGATGCCGAGGGTGTCGAGGTGGATCTGATAAGTCTCTCCAGCGTCTTGCCAGCTGCCGTTGGCGATCTTGTCGTTTTGCTCTTCGAAGAAGTTGGCGAACGCGGGCCCATAGTGTCCTCCATACGACTCAGTCCAGATGCTGACCCGGTCGTCGTTGGGCTTGTAGGCTGGGAACGTCTGGAACCAGACTTGGGCGAAATGCCAAAGCGCCCTCGCGGCGTTGGTTGTACCATTGGCGCTTGATGTTAGCAGCTGGCTCGGAAAAGTGCCGACGAGGAAGGTGTTGTTCTGCTCGGGCACCCCGTTTGTGAACTCGTCTGTCACTACGTCGCCAGAAGGATCGAGCAGATCCTGCGTTCCGTTCACCAGAATATCGTAGCTTAACCCGACTTGGTTTGGTTGGTCAATGTACAGCCTAGGAAATCGTCATCAGCATGGACTTCGCCTGACGCGCAGAGACCTACATGTTGACTTCATTGTTCCAAGACCAGGGGTTCAGCGTCGTGCTGTTGGAGTCATGATTGACGTTGCACGGTCCTACGTGGTGTTAGCGAACTACTGCGGACAGAGGTCCCACATCTCGAAGCAGGGGAGGAGTGTAGGTCGATGGGGAATGCCTCTTTTGCGCGAATCAAAATGAAATCAAACGACTCACCATTTTCCTGCAGAAGACCGATCATAGAGGAACTGCCAGGACCACCATTCATCCAGATTGAGAGAGGCGCATTTGCTGGATCCTTGCGGGACTCGAAGAACCAGAAGAACGTATTGATGGTGTAATTTTGGTCGACCCCGAGATCATCCACAACATCCGGAGGCAGGTGGACGTACCCAGCATACGACCGCACTCCTGGGGTTGTTTCACATATGCTGGACTGGGATGGAACACGTCAGTTGTGCCCGAGTGAGGATCAATTACACTTGGGGTACCTCTTTGAAAGATATCGAGACGCCATCCTGGACCTGCGATCTGACGACCGTCACGTTCTTAGGTGCCGCGGGAAAATACTGGCCGAAAGACGAGCCCGCAAGCATCAACAGCACAGATGCAGAGGACGACTGAATTCTGAGACGCATTGCGAAAGCTCACTCCTGACGCTGGGACAGCGAACAGTCCGAATCACCTGGGGTTCCGAAACGCAAAAGAGCTGAACAAGAGCTGGACTCGGGCTTGCACTTGTGCGACATTATCGTGCTGCGCTCCATCGTCTCTGTCGTAGAGGATCTGTCACACTTACAGGGGATCTGCCCGTCGCCGCAGGCTGCACGCAAAGGCACTGGGGCGCGCAAACTGCGTCGCGGCCGACTCCGGGTCCCCCATAATAACATGCGTTACCCGACCGTCACTCCGTGCATAGGGTGAAGATAGCGGCGCGAGAAGGAGCCATTGCTGTGGCATCTAGGCACAACAGTCCCACCAAGAGCTATTGTTATCCGGTTGCGCCCCTGTTTTCCCCGCAATGAGAAGCATCACTGGGCATTCTTGCTGGTCCTGATGCCGCGCGAGATTGAGGAGGATTGGACCTTATCAGAGACCGAAGAAAGTAGAAGGTAGTATCGTCTCAAAGCTAGGATTTAGCTTGAATCTGATCCTGGGCTGCCTCGGCCGGCCACCGAATTCAAGGAATATGAGCGCATTGATCGACCTTGGCGGATATGTTTTGTTTGCCATGTTTGCCGTGTTCGCTGTATTTGTCCATTTTGTGAAAGTCGTTCCTCCTCCCGCTGCTCTGCTGGCTGTCTCGATGGTGATGTTGATGAGGATGACCTGAGACGACGAGACAAAATCTCCACAGAGAGTAAGCGCATCCATGAAAAACCTTCTGGGTAATCAACAAAGGTTGCGGGCCGCGCTGCTCACGAGGAGTTAACTGGACCGTACGCCCTTGGACCTTCGACTCGTCCTCCTTGTTGCCAGTCTCCGCTACGTACTGTGTACAATGTTTCCGAACTCGCCAGGAGTCTCATCGGGCTACACGTCCCCAGAAGCGGAATTGTATTCGCAGTCTTCCCGTGGCTATGTCAGCTGTTCGGGGCAGGCGATAGAGCCTGTCATGGGTCGCAGGCATTGTAAGCAGGACGCCGCATTGGCCGAGCTTCGGATCACAGTCCCGCGGTGTGTCAGCGAGGAGTACAGGAGTACACCACAGCACAGGGCACGGCAGAGTATGTCAAGCTTTCCTTGACATGTCCACTTTTGCTTCTTTGCTCAGATCGCCGCCGCGTTGTGACAGCTTAGTCAGGTTAAGAATTGACTGGACTGACTGACTGACTGTCATCACCTTTGCACTCCACTCACAGTGTACGGGTCAGCGGATTACAGTATCAGGAGTATACGTCGAATGCGACTGTGGAGCATGGGATGTGCAAGACACCGAGTCAATGGCTCATATCATTCCGTTCCTGGGAGGCGGATACGGATAGTATACTATTGACACGGGGCTGACCACCAGGTGATTGTCCAACGAGAGTCAGCTTCAATACATCTACATCCATTTGCGGCGGGATACAAGAGACTGTAGGGCCAGAGAGAGGTACATAAGTAAGTCCGCTGATTTAACGCAGACTCACAAGTCCCTGTGGATTGACACCATCAGCTCGCGAAAATGATCTTCTCCTCGTCCTTCTGGCTCTGCTCTCTGGCCATCGGCGTGCTGGCAACAGTGTATCTCAGATACCGCCGCCTGTCCTCGGTGCCGGGGCCTTTCCTTGCTGCCGTTACAGATCTGTGGCGGTTCTCTCTCACCCGGAGTGGCCAGTTTTCAGACACGCTGATAGACCTGCACACCCGCTATGGTGCATTTGTACGCATAGGCCCAAATGCCGTCAGTATCTCCGACCCTGCTGCAGTCCCCACGGTCCACTCCATGCACGGGGAGTTCAGGAAGACGGACTCGTATTCCACACTCCGGGCGCTCTTCAACGGCAAGGTAATCGGCAGCGTGGTCGACTTGCAGGATGAAAACGAGGTCTCGGCCCTGAAACGTGCAGTCGGAAGCGCCTTTGCAACGAAGAACCTGCTAGACTACGAGCCCGACGTGGATCATACCTTGGACCGACTTGCTCAGGCCATGCGAAAGCGCCGGACCTTCTCACTGCTCGACGCTATGCAACAATTCCAGGTGGACTTCCTCATGAAGGCTGCCTTCAGCAGGGACACCGACTACCTTGAGACCAATCGGTCAACGGACGCGATCTCGGGCGACGTAAGATTGAAGCATTGGTATATATGGCAAAGTATGCCTGGTCTTGAGTGGCTGCTCTTCAAATCACCACTTTCTCCGGCATGGTATAGGAAACCCGCAAAGCCTCCAGCATGGACAGCCATGGCCTCAGAAGAATATCGCAAGAGAGTGAAGTCGCACTCAGACAAGCCGGTCGGTACGGCAAGGGAGAAAGCGGATCTCTTGTCCAAGTACCTCACTGGACGGGAGCAGCACAAGGAGACTGTGTCACAAACCAACATTGTCCGAATGATTTCGAGTACGATCGCAGCTGGATTTGACACGTCCGCCTACACCATTACCATGATCCTCTACAACCTCCTGAAACACCCAGCGGCGCTGAAGAAATTGAGATCCGAGCTCGACGATGCTCTCAATTCTGGCCGACTCTCCTCCCCTCCCAGGCTCAATGAGGTGGACAAGCTCGACTACCTCGGCGCAGTGTTCAAAGAGACCATGCGTCTCCAACCCTTCCTGAAGCCCTTGCTCGAACGAGAAGTCCCTCTGGGTGGTGCCGATATTGCGGGCCGATTCCTCCCTGGCGGCACGACGGTTGCAATCTCGGTACGCAGCGTTCACCGCGACATTGCCGTGTTTGGGAAAGATGCCGACGAATTTCGCCCGGAGAGGTGGTTGGAAGCCGACCAGCAGCACAGACCGCGGATGGAAAGGTCGATGCTCGCGTTTGGCGGCGGCAAGCGCGTCTGCATGGGGCGACATATTGCCGAGTTGGAGATGAAGAAAGCCGTTCCAAGACTGCTGATGGAGTTTGATGTGAGTCTCACCTGCTCGATGAACCGTGTGACGGCTAACCGAGCATCTCAACCAGATCTCGTTGGAAGACCCAAGCTATGTCTATAAGGCCAGAGACAAGTTGACCAATTTCCCCACACCGTTTGCCATCGTTTGCACAGACAGAGCTTAAGCTTACATCATCTCGATGTGAGGTTCAGAGTGCTGTTAGACCGAAGCTTGGTGTTTGGAAGCAAAATTCTGTTAAGGGGGATTCTCTACTTCGAGCCGCTGTTGCGCTCATGGGATGGTAAATGACCTGTGACATCCTCCTCTAACTGGGAGAGGCCGATTTAGGAGCAAAGCAAGTACAAGCTGCCAGCCGTGGGGTGGTCAGGCACTGGTCCGGGATTGTAGTGCTTGAAGAACATCCCTGGGAAGCTTCGATGTAGCGTATCGGCCAGGCCCGGTTTCCGAGACATGCAGGCCTTTCGATGGTGTTGCTTGCAAGTATGACACTTCATTGACACGGAGCGGATATGGTTGTTATCGGAGAGAGGGAGTCCATGAGTGCTTGGAAATGTTGTATCGAGATTGGGACTCGTCTTAATAACTCGATGGTAGGGCTGCGGGCGACGGTTGGTACAAGTAGCTGAATCTTCAGGTTCCCTCAGTCTGCGATGAGAACGGTTGCTCGTGGACTTAGGAGCGATTGCGCAGCCTCAGATGCTTGTCCTACAGCCGTGGGTGAGTTGTATCAGCTGAATAAGAGAGATACCGCAACCTTGAAAACATGGCTATTTGGCCGAATCGAATCCTCCGATAAATTAGCAGCACTTTCCGCTTGGTCCAGACACTCATCCAGTACCTTGTAAACCTCACAGAACGTCTACCTCGAAGGAATCAACAGCCGTGTTTTCCGTTCTGCCGCTCATGTTCTCGGGAAGCAGGGGTTTCCTTCCGCAGCCGAGCAAAGGTGCGAACATCAATCCTCGACTGACCCCACCCATTAATGCCATACGATACTGTGTATGACGCGCTCAGGGTTAGATAGACCATGTCGTGGCTCCGGCGTAGATCATGACCAAATTTCCTCCCATCCCGGCTTCGACAAAGTAGGCCACCATAATGTCCACGCGAGTGCGTAACGATTTGGGCTGCGCAGGCACTCAGTGACATAGTCAACCGCGCCCCAGGTACAACAAGGCCATACTTACTTTAGCCGCTAAGTCCGAAGAGGACCACGTCGAGCAGGTGGGAGACACAAAGCAGGCATGCTAGAGACGGTGGTTGTGGAGTGCCAACACCACGCAACGTTGTGGCAGAATGAGCATGGGACGTAGCCTCGACAACTTTACCCGCAAAAAGATGAAGCGTGCGCTAGTAACATGGCAGGTATAGCCACAATCAGAACACCATGGCAAGATAGACAGGATAAAAGCAGAAACGCACATGGAAGCTGAAAAGTGTATCGAGGTAATCGTCGGAGGGCGTCCTTAGGGCCGAGGCGTCTAGGCGTGCCGTGATATCTACATGTCAAGCTTCCGTACATCGTGAAGTGTCGTAGCCATCGTCGCCAATTCAAGGGATGAATGTTTGTCCCGGTGCTCAACGTCTGAAACCTCCAGAGTCCAGATGGTGTGTACTGGGCTGACACTGGTATTTTCCTCGAGTCAACCTATACGATCGTCTTCCGTCGACCAAAGACGCGCTTCAACCTGCTCCCTTTGCTCTCCGCTGGTGTAGTCGAATTATCCACAGCTGCGTTCGCGGAACTGTGCCGTGACAACGCTGCGGCACTACCATTGTGTTCGGCGACTGTGTCGAGCTGAGGAGCTACCGTCGCCCTTCGCTGTTCTCTAGTGCTCTTCTTCGTACCCCTGGTTGTTCCTTGTTTGCTGAGGATATCGTCGACCGTTTTCTTGCCATAGAACCCGCTCAATTGGTCATCCGCCTCATAGTACATCTTTGATTGTGCCCATGCCTTTAGCGCGTCGAGGTATGCTTGCTCAGAAGGAAAGCCTCGGTAGCCCTGATCCGCCACGACGGTATCAATCGACTGAGCGGAGAAGACACTCGCAGGTCGTGACGGTTGGGTCTGAGGGTCCCGATCGAAAACGGATCTTGGCTCCTTGATCGACATGTTGAGATGCCGCGGAGAGGAGGTGGTAAATGCTGAGCTGTTCGAGACGAGGCACTATGTCAGCAGGCGACGTCGGGTAGAGTACAATTAATCCGGAATAGTGAGCGTCCTCGAACATTTCAAAGTCAGTAACAGGTCCTCCCCATTTCATTTATTACCTTTTGCAGGTCAGTTTGAGACTTGGATAGAGCAGGTGCTTCGCCACTTGCGATTCGTGGTGATGAAACATTCTGATGCACTCTGACAGGCTCAACGGCAAACCAGCTGCCCCTCCAACCCGCTTTGCAAGCCCACGGCAGCCTTAACGGGGTGGCAAGGCCAGGAATAGGCCGCCCACGAACTGTGCCAGATGACCGGACAAAATGCGAGACGGCAATGATCCGTGGTCTCCTGCGCAATGATGAATGGTGCTGGGAGGAGATAGGAATGTGCGCCGAGAGATGCCAATGCTTGCCCTCGACGAACCCACGTGTCCAAAGTGACCTTGAACGAGAGATACAGGAGTGTGACGATCCAAGATGATCCAGATGATCCATCGCCATGCACCCACCATGGACCGAAGATGCCGGAGAGTTCGGTTAACAAACGACACCTTCATCTCAACAGCCATATGGTCCACAGAATCAATTTTGCGGACCATTACTCTCTGAGGCGCTGAGTGAGCTTATAGGTACTTACCTCGCACATCTCGCTGCCTACCCTTTCGTCCTGAAACGAATGCCCACGCAAATGAAATTCCAGGTGGAATGAAAGTACGCAAATTGGACTATGGATCCCTATGAAACAGTTGCAAATGAGGTCCTTGTTGTATCTACTCTCGTTTGAGGCCAATTTTTCCGATATTCCTCAGTCCCCACAAGCTTACCACGAGCGTCGCTGCTGTGACAGAGAGGATAAACCAAAATGCAGCCCTGTATCCCTCCATCAGCGCCTTTGGCCCGTGCTTGTCAGGGTAATCTGACTGCATCGTGATAGTCCCGGCAATGACGGCAGAAAGAGCCAGCCCGACGCTTTTGCCGATTTGGGCCACGGTGTTGAAGACGCCTCCGGCTAATGCTTGGGTCTTTTCGGGAAACGCCGCAGTGATGACAAGATTGGAAACAGTAAAGAGCACATCCGGCCCAATTGCGTTCAGAGCAATGGCCGGGAAGGCGTACTCCCAGTAAGGCGCACGAACTTTGATGATGGCGACCAGGAGAGGTGAAATGCAGGATACTGCCATGGTGACTATGACTGCCCAATTCGCACGGACTTTGTGAACAGCGAGGCCCATGACGATGTTTGTCGCAATGCCAGAGGCTGGAGCTGGCAAGAAGCGCAGAGACGTTTGCGTGGCACTGAGGTGCTGGATGTCTTGAAAGAAGAATGTAAGAAGGGTCTCGGTGGCATTGAAGGCACCCCAAGCAAGGAAGACGTCGATGCAGATGCTTGTGAATACTCGGTTGCGCCAGAGTGAGTTGGGAATGATTGCTGGACGGCCTAGCTTTTCTTGTCGGCCGACCCAGAAGACGAAGGCGGGGATCAGTGCTACGGCTGTCGACAGGCAGGCAATATTGGTGGGAGTTTTGATGCTTGAGACGCTCCCAGTCAGGACGCTAACACCCGTCAGATCCGGACTTCTGTTGGATGGGAGCAAGTCACTTACGCAAAGACATATGACAGCAGCCCGAGTGTCGTGCTGAGGATGAACGCCCCCGGCCAGTCAATATCCGTTCTCAATCGACCAAGTGATAGCCGTGTCGGATCTGCAGGCTTCGGTAAACCAAAAAGTGCTAAACCCAGAAACACGGTGTTAATAGCCGCTGCAATGTGGAATCCCACTCGCCAGCCGGGACCGTCAGCGAGGATACCGCCCACGACAAGGCCGATGGAGAAACCTATCGGCTGCCCGGCGCCCATCATCGCAAATGCAAAGTTTCTGCGCTGCCCATGTGGAAAGTATGATGTGATCAGGCTGACTGCCGACGGGAGGCAGAAGGCGATCGCAATACCAGCAAGTGCGCGGAAGAACAGCAGCTGGAAACTGCTTTTTGCGAGCCCACATGCCAACGTGAAGACGCTTTGCAGCAAACAGCCGAGCAGGTACATAAAACGGCTTCCCACCACATCGGCGACGGCGCCCGAGAGGATAAGTGAGCATCCGCACGTAAGGGCGTAGATGGAAGAGGGCCTGCAATATCCATTGAGCACGTTCATCCCGCAACGGACTCAGGACGGGATATACCATAAAAGGACAGCATCAGAGAGGCCGAGATCCTTCGCCATGGGCGGGAGAACGACGGTTACCAAGCCGGCAAGAAGAGAGCTGATGCCAGTGACGCCTGTTATAGAAGCGAATATAACTGCCGTTGTGCCCTTCTTCAGAGAAGACTGCTCAGATGTAGATTGTTCATCCTCACGTAGCACCGGTTCTTCGCCTGGGAATGACAGCTTCTGCACCTTTGAGACGGCTGGTGCGGGAGGCGTAAGCTCAATGGTATCAGTTGCAGTTACCGACATGTTGAGTGCGTCCGTTCAAGCTGATCCAACTGCTTCCCGGGGAGCCAAGGTATCTAAGCAGAGATCATGGTGCAATATAGAATATCCTGTAGCCGTGCTCTCTAAGCATGAAGTCCTCTACGCTAGGACGCTGACACCCATCATCGAAGGGCGTTTTCTACCAGAGTATGGATGATGTCACAGCCTTGTGGACGCCCTAAGCTTGGCGCATTTGGTCTGTTTGCAACTCCATTGGCCAGGACAGCAAGGGCAGATTTAGTCCCAAGCTTTTGGTCCCTGAGGCTCCTTGCTGGACACGCCACTCACAAGCCGCTCTTCACCGCGAGGGATCCGGCTGCTGCGCGTCAGTCCACCGCACTCCCACCACCGGGAAGCTCATATCCGCGTTGCAGCACCGAGTGACACCACCGTGGCCGGCCCAATTAAATTATTCGGTGCACCCACATTTGCCAATCAAGAACGGTCCCTGGCTTTAGATCCAGATCGTCCCTTTGATATTGAAATTGTTGATCTGAGGTCTCTTTGATCTCTGATTCCCTTGGACTTCATTCTGTTTATCCATTCTGCTGCCCGGAGCAAGTTCGTTCTCTACCTCGTTCGAATCAGACGGGTTTGCATCCTCCTCGACATGTATGTACTCTTTCTCACTGCAACCAAGATCTCCTCAAGAAAGACGATGTTTTGGCCGAGCTAACCCCTGCTTCTCTGGCTGTACAGGAATTCTACAAGTCCTTTCGTCAGTGGTGCACCCACAACCTACGCCGACTACTTTAACGACATCGCCGCCTATAATGTGCACCTAAATGTCTTCGAGAAGGCATGGGCAGCGTGGTACGCATACATGCAGAACGATGTGCTCGCCACAGGGATAATGTCCTTCACCATGCACGAGGTGGTCTACTTTGGCCGAGCGCTGCCGTTTATTATTATGGATAAGATTCCCTATTTCAGGAAGTATAAGATCCAGGCTGTACGTGCTCCTGTCTGCTGGCTTCAGCAGCGCTTGAAGGCTGACATACGTGGCGAAACAGGGTAAAATGCCCACTCTCGCCGAACAATGGGCCTGCGCCAGACTTGTCCTCCTTTCCCACTTCACCGTCGAACTTCCTCAGATATGGCTCTTCCACCCTGCATGCCAGTTCTTTGGCCTGTCGACATCCGTGCCCTTCCCTCCGTGGTACACCATGGCCTGGCAAATTGCACTGTTCTTCGTCCTCGAGGACGCATGGCATTACTGGTTACACCGAGCCCTGCACACCCCGAAACTCTACAAAATGATCCACAAATTGCACCATCAATACAGCGCGCCTTTCGGGCTTGCGGCAGAGTACGCCTCTCCACTGGAAACCATGATTCTCGCATTCGGAAGTGTTGGCATCCCGATCGCGTTTTGCGCGCTGACCAAGAACCTCCATGTTATCACTATGTATCTTTGGATCGTGGGCCGCCTTTTCCAGGCTATCGACTCGCATTCTGGATATGAGTTCCCCTGGTCTCTGCATCACTTTCTGCCATTCTGGGCAGGCGCGGACCACCATGATGTCCATCACGAGAAGTTCCTCGGCAATTATGCCAGCTCGTTCAGATGGTGGGATGCCACAATGGGAACTGACGTGGGTAGCGCTTCGGAGGGATTCAAGAGAAAAGCTAAGAAGGCCGGAGAAGTGAAGGAGGAGTGAAACGATCCTTGTTTAGCAGAAAATCGTTGCATCCTCCAGAGATGAGAAATCTCAACCGGTCTTTCCCTGTAAATATTTTGTGTCACGTCTATATGGGAGAATTGGTCAGGCGGCATGGTCATGCACAAGTGGCGTTGAACGGCACTGAATAGACATGGATGGGATGTGGCGAGATAAATTCCTAGCCTTGTCATAATAGTGCTTCGGCATTCCGATCAATCGCGGTATTGATAATGTTGCGTATGTGGGCATGTAGACGGAGGGGAGCGCCGGGAGAGGCCTCATCGCACAGCCCTAGACATTCTTCCGACCGGCTTCTTTAAGCGTTGAGGACGCGCCTATACCGGCCCCTTCGCAGAGACTTCTGGCGGAGTTGTAGACCTCGATTTTGCTGCCTCGCATCCACAGCGCTCAAGGGCCTCATTGATTTTCGCTCGGTTCGCGGCGATCATGCGCTCACGTAGGGCCGCAATTCTCAGCTTTTCATCATCCACGTCCCGCGAGGAGTCCAAGTTCCATGGTGTGACGGTGTTGAACTCGGCGAGAATGTCATTGATTTTCTGCGCCAGTTTCATATCTCGAACGCTCAACCCGCGAGGACTGTGCGTTGTACATGTGATGGTCATGTACATGTCTCCCGCATCTTCAACCTCGCCTCGACTGATATGTGGGTGGTGACCCATTTCGTCGGCTCGGCGCATGATCAATTCTTCAATGACGCTCTTTTCAGTGGCCGAAGGATGGGCTGTGTGCCGATGTATGGCATCCCCTTCGGAGTCAAGATGCCACTCTATCGTGCCAAATGATATGCCGGGTGTGTCCTTCGCTTTCTCGTTCGGAGCTTCGATCACCGTATCTTGCTCTGGGGTCTGGAGCAGCTCGCTGAGAGCTTTTCCTAGCCTGTCGAGGTTGGCTTTGGGAGTGGGCGAGAACTTTTGCGTGATAACTGTGGCATCTCGTAGGCTGATGTTGATAGTCTGCCGGTCAGGAGGGATCTGGATGGGAGCAGAGGGGGAGAGGTACAGGCTCCTGCGCGCAGTTGAAGCGTGCCATGGAGGACGAGGCAGACATGTCCGCCCAATACTGGATTGTAACTTCTTGTTCACATGTCTGCCGATTGATGCTGTGATGGTACGAGCAATGCGACTGTTTCCTACATGATGAGTCTGCAGCATTGCTGGCGACCATCAGTATCGCAAAGAAGCAACGGTAAACGGGTTGGAAGACCCGTCACCAAAAGACTCGACAGGGATGACATAGGACTCCGTACGGAGTATTGTCTCTTTTTGATAATGGCTGGCGTCTGCCGAGACTTGCATGGGGCGCCTCATCAAAGCTTCAAGCCTCCTTCAAGCTCTGATCCATGCTCGACGCTGACTGACAATCTCCTCAATGTCAGCCGGCTTCTCGAGATCACGGACGACTATGGAGTATATTCTTGGGCTTTATTCTTTGGAGTAGACGGGCCTCTTCACCCGACAACGCGATCTGCCTCTTCCGTTGCTGAGTTCATGTTGGACACTCAGTCACTCTTTAAACGCGTGTTTCATCGTCGCTTGGAAAAAATTAAGCGATCAGCGAACGAACCACTGATCATCGAGAAGCCAGATTCCAAGCACGCGGCACCAAACAGCTCACTTCCCCGTCAAGCTTCACGATTTCATCGCTCCGATTCTACCGACGAACGGTGCTCTGCCTTGCTATAAATTCTTGAAACACTTGTCGTTTCCCGCCTGCTACCAACCATGGGCAAACGCCTGGTGCCCAGGTATTGGTGGGAGCCCTTGCGGCTACTCAGCCACCGCGCGATGGATTCGCTTGAGCATTTCCCGGGACAGCCACTGGCGAGCCTAACGCAGGTACATGGCCTCGTTTCGGGCCCGCAGTGTTGATGGAGTATCTTAAGGCAGATAGCCCCGATCGTGGTGAGTTCTCTAGAAGCCCTGGGTTGCTCTCGACGAAGCTCTTCAGCGAAGATTGCGTGCCTGTTTGTCGTGGTGTTTTTCGAAACGTTGCGCCTCTCTATCGTGGACCTTGTGCGGCATCGAAGGCGGTCGAAGTGAGTGAGTCGACTGCAGAAAAGAATGCCGCCTCTGGAGCTCCTAACTCTACTACTCGCATTCACCCGCTGCGCCGTCAGGTCTGCTCCCCTACAAAGCAGAGACATCTACAACCCGCTCGACCCTCTCAAAAGCGTCGCCAGCGAACTCCTCAGCTTCACGACCGCATTTTCTGGACCAGATTCGACCGGCAAACAATCTGGAGCGACTCCCGCAGCGTCCCTTACAGATACGCAACAATCTTCGGCGGCCTCCGCTGACACAAGCGGCACGCAAAATGTATTGATATCAACAGGCACAGCTCAAGCATCAGGGAGCGCCGGAACAGGAAGCATCACAATATCCGGCACCGCTACCCAACTATCCACAGGAGGCGTCTCACCCAGTGCGTCTAACGAACCAATCTCGACGACAGTCTCTGCAGGTTCTGCCACTTCCTCGCCAGGGTCTAACGCGGCATCAAGCGGGGTAGTCCCAACTACCACTGGAAGTGTTGGTGCTTCAACTACGGGGACAAGCCCAGGTTCGGGCTCGAGTTCAGGTCCAGGATCAAGCTCTGGCGGTTCATCAGGAGCTGGTTCTGGTTCTGGCTCCGCCTCCGGCTCTGGCTCCGACTCATCCTCCTCCTCCGCTGCGTCAACCAGCTCAGCCAGCCTCTCACCTGGCGAAATTGCCGCCGTAGTGATCCTCCCTGTCCTCGCGCTCTTTGCGCTTTTGTTCCTCCTCGTCCGGTACAACAAGCGCGTCCGAGAAAAGTACTCAGCCTGGAACCAAGCACGAGTGGAACGGGCCGCCTATCGTCGAGCTCTTGACGACCCGGTCCTTTCATTCGGCATGCGCCAGCAAAACAACCCAGGGCTCGGGATGGGCGACGTGGAGCAATTAATCCGTCCCTTCAGACCGCTGTCCTTCGGCTTCAGCAACCCCAGGAGACCGTTTCCTAGACAGCAACGGAAACCCCTAGAGTGGGATCCAAATAAAGTCGGAGGCGATACCGCGTCGGCTATTGGGATGGCAGTCCCGCTGCCTGCGGGCCAGCATAGCAGGAGTGCAAGTGAGGTGTCGGAGGACAGTGATATCTATGGCGGCGATGACCGGCCTGGGTCGAGGTATCAGGATGCTCGATCCAACCAGGTTTCGCCAGACAATGTGATTTCATGACATGACATGACGAATTTCTTGTGTACTTTTATGAGGGTACCTTTGTGTGTATCAACAAGCGACGCAATGAGCCCTTGTATGAGCGATTGTATGTATGTACTATGATATCGGCGCAGCCGTGCGATAGAGATGATCATTGAATGACACCACCCTACAACCTCACACCATGAGCTCCGTGATTGTGAGTTTCCGACTGCCCGCCTGGTGCGACTTGGAATTCAAGACTTCAGTACCGCTGGCCGAGGCGGCGAAATGAAGCATTTGCCCAGGGTCCAAACCATCTGTTGCCCACCTAGAGCGACCCAGTATGTACTCCGTACTCCGCATTAGCATTGTACGAGCTACAGTGTATGTATGCCTGAGTGGCCTGTCGACGACGGCCGCAGACGGACGTCCCCAACTTTTGCCTTTACAGAACCATCTACGATCCCATGTATCTACGATCCCAAGACTCGCGCAACGGGGCGTGGCGCGGAACCAATGATGGCCTCGTCCGTGACACAAGGCCCAGCTCGATTGGTGATTCACCACACATGACAGCACAGTGGATTATCACCAGTAGGTAGATACAAGCCAGAATTTTTTGCTCTCCTCGTATCTGGTATGGAGTACAGTATCTGGTAGTTTAAGTCACGACACAAGATAATTCGTCGACTTTGTGCCTCATATACACATAACATACATATATACATACATCCATCCATCCAGAGCACACACACACACACACATCCAGAGAGAGACGGAGAAAGAAGAACAACAGCAACCACACAAGATGGAGCACATTGACCTGCCCGCACTGCGCGATCATTTGATCGCCATCGCCCTCAAGGCCGGCTCGATGATCACACAGGCTTCGTCAACGACGTCGACGTCGAGCTCGATGCCCAACAACGGCAACAACAATAATGGCCCTTCCACGAAGAAAAACTCGGCCGACCTCGTGACCGAGACGGACAAGGCAGTCGAGGACTTCATCTCGCGCGACCTCAAGGCCGCGTATCCGTCCTTCCACTTCATGGGCGAGGAGACGTACGTGCCGGGCCAGAAGCTGGGCGCCGACCCGACCTTCATCGTCGACCCCATTGATGGGACCACGAACTTCGTCCACGGTTGGCCCTACGTCTCGGTATCCCTGGGTTTCGCGGTGGCCCGGGAACCCGTCGTCGGCGTCGTGTTCAACCCGTTCACGGGCCGCCTGTACCACGGGGTGAAAGGGCAGGGGTCTTTTTTGCGGATCATTCGCGACGGAGGGGCTGAGGGGCAGGCGGCGGAGGAGGATAGGCGATTACCGCTCCGACAACCGGCCGCACTGGTCGGGTTGGACGGGTGTGTGGTGGCGATCGAGTACGGGAGCGATCGCAGCGGGCAGAATTGGCGGACGAAAGTCGACACGTGGGCCGCGTTGGGGGCGAGTAAGGACGAAGGCGGCGCGATGGTGCATTCCGCCCGGGCGCTGGGGTCGGCGGCGCTGAATCTCTGCGGCGTGGCCGAGGGCACGTTGGACGCGTACTGGGAGGGAGGATGCTGGGCTTGGGACGTCTGCGCCGGGTGGGTGGTTCTCAAGGAGGCCGGAGGCGTCATTGTGGATGGGAACCCGGGGCAGTGGGAGATCCCCGTCGATCATCGCAAGTACCTTGCTGTCAGGGGCGCCGAGGGTAGCAAGGGCCAGAGAGAGCTGGTCGAGGAGTTCTGGGGGTTTATCAAGGGACCGATGGAGTATGAGCATTGAGGGTATGATGAAGGGGACACCCGTGCGTGAGAGCACGAGGAACGATAAACGCAGACGGGAGACCAGTTATAGACATTTAGACACAACCTACGGAGTAGTCTCCATGGCGTGATGAACGGCTCATCCAATCCAGCACTGGAGCTGTTCTTCTATCCCTTGTCGCTTTTCTGGTTGCCTTACTGCTTAGTAGTTTACAGTGGTCGCTATGCAGAAAACGAAACCCAACCGTCCAAAATGGCCTCCTACTTCCACAACTTGCCCAGTGACACCTCCTTGTCGTCGTGCTTGTTTAGGACCTTTGCCGTTGCCAGGTCAAAGTCTTCTTGCGTGACATGCACTCTTCGTTCTCGCAAGGCGAACATACCGGCTTCTGTGCACACACCTTTCAGCTCTGCCCCAGAGCAGCCGTTCATCTTCTCGGCGATCTTCTTTAGGTCAATGCCTCTGGTCAAGTTCATGCTCCTCGAGTGAATCCTCAGAATATCAGCTCTTGCTTCGACGGTTGGTGGGGGGAATTCGATCTTGCGATCGATACGACCGGGTCGTAGTAGAGCGGGATCCAAGATATCAAGTCGATTGGTGGCCATGATAACCTTGATGTTCTTGGTGGGCTCGAAGCCGTCCAGCTGATTCAATAATTCCAACATGGTTCGCTGCACTTCCGAGTCACCACCGCTGCTGCCTTCGACACGGCTAGAACCTATGCTGTCGATTTCGTCCATGAAAATGATGCTGGGTGCGTGTTCCCTTGCCATGACGAACAGTTCTCTGACCATCCTGCTTCCTTCACCAATGTACTTCTGAACCAACTCTGATCCCGAGACTCTGATGAATTTGCAGTCGGCATGGTGGGCGACGGCGCGAGCAAGCAGCGTCTTTCCTGTCCCGGGCGGGCCGTACAGCAGGACGCCTTTGGGTTGAGCGATACCGAGCGATTCGAAGAGTTCTGGGTGATTGAGGCCGAGTTCAATGACTTCTTTGATCTCCTTGATCTGTTGATCTAGGCCACCAATCATATCGTATGTGCTGTCCGGGACCTTTTCCACCATCATGAGAGACACCAGGGGATCGACGGACGAAGGAAGCATCTTTTCGAGCTTGTACGAGTCGGACAGAAGGGACACCCGCTTGCCAACGGTCAGCTTGGAGATATCCACGCTGTCGGCAATATCGACAACTGTGCCAGCGTGTTAGCCTGGGGTAGAACTGAGGCGGGATGTCTCAATTACCATATTTGCCTTCCGGATGCACTTTGACGAGGACTTTCTTGGTGCCCATCACCTTGACCACTTCGCCCACGTATGAGCCTGGCTGCTGCAGCAAGCCCAGCTCTTCTCGCAACAGGCGCACTCTCGAGTTGTAGTCATTTCGTTGTGCTTCTAACCGCCGCAAGACTGCTTGGCCTTGGATGATTTCGAGCTTGAGGGATTCGATTTTGTTGTGGTAGAAGTTATCGAGCGCCATGGTGTGCAGATGCGGAGAGTTCGAGAAAACAATGTCTGTGTCTCGGCTGCTGGTATGCAGTTTGGAACCAAGAGATAGATTGACCCGATGTGGTGTTGGGGAAACTTGTGGACGACGATGATGGATTGGTAAAGGCAATTTGCACGGTTGGACGCGACTGCGCTTCGCAGCCTGAGCCTGAGCCTTGGGCGGATGGCGGCTGTTGGCGCTTGTCGCGGCTACGACACAGCAAATGTTTCCGGGGACTGCCGAGCCTGACTTCGGTGGCTAGCCAACTCCAGCTTAACCAAATTTCCTTTTGGGCATTACCTTGGGCGGTCGTGGGTGGCTCGGGAAGACGGCTCGCCTCTGTGAGTGCCTAAAAGGGAGGACAACATGTGCCAGCCCACAACTGCGACCAGCCTGCCACGTAACTCGTAGTGCCCAACCGCTGCACTGGTGCAGCACCATCCGTCATACCTTGATGCAAGCTGCAAGCACCTGGAGCTTCATTTGACACCTCCAAGGTCTGGGGTTGCTCCAGGCTCCATCGCCTCGTATTGACTTTCTGCGGTATATCGCACGTGCGCCAATTGACGTGTTATCCTGGCCGAGATACACAGTTTCGTCCTGCACAGCGATTGCAGGTCGACGATCACCTACCACGCATCCTCCGTAGAGAAGTTCAGCTCTGCTATCAATCTCTTCGGGCATACACCACACTCATTTCCCTGCGGGCCTTGTTCCCACACCACCTCAACCTCGCCCACTTCTTCACCTAATGTAAACAGTGCCGTCTTATCGATCGATCATATGACTATGTCCTCGCTGCTCATCTGATGCGTGCTCGAGCCTTGACCAGGCATCTCCCAGCCTGTGTGCGCTCCTGTCTGACGGTCTCTACCACTTGATAGCGCAGGCTCCTGAAAGTCGCTGGTACATCCAGCACCTGCCAGAGGAAAGATCGGAATAGTCACGATGTCATCTAGTGACCATCCTCAAAGAAGCTCCGACGATAGACTAGGGCACGATGTCCAATCTACTACAAGGTCATCGTCGATCACAGCAGAATTACGGTCTCAAGAAGAACCGTTTGGAGGAGACACCACAATTCGGCGTGACTATGGTATGTGCGCCCGGTCGGATGATGAGGCGTCTTCTGAACAGTGAACAGGCACTCTCGGCAGTAACGTTCCTGGTTCGAGCAGTCAAAGACCACGCAGCGCCATTCGTTCTGACGAGGCTCCAGAAACACCTGCCACCATGTCGGCCCTATCGCCCCAGACCGGGAGGGTCCGGAAACCTCCGCCTATGATGAGAAGGATCTCGACTCGCAGACAGTTGCCCCATCGAGGCGAACAGTTCTCGGTCGACGACGACCCCGACGAGGTTGTGGAAGATCGAGAGCTCCATACCCCCACTACCCAGGCGTTTCCCACCCTGAACCGATCACTTTCCACCGTCCGTCGTCGGACCGCTGCCGCTCCTCCGTTATTACCGCGAGTCGATTCTGCTGAAGAGGAGGTAGAGGAGCCCATTCCTCAGGAGTCGGCAGTCCTGGCCGAAGATGAGGCTGAGCCCGAGGTAGAGGAACCACCGCTCGAAGAGTCGGAAGATGCAGAAGTGAGTGATACTGAGAGCTTCACGTTGAAAGACCGGCAGCTGGCCATCAATGAAACGCATCCATTCGGTATAAGGATATGGAAGCCTGCCCTATACAAGAAAAGCAGGTCCGTCGAAAAAGGAGCTGAAGAGGATATCCATTCCTCCCCCAGTGAGATCGTCAGTAGCTGGTTGTGGTTCTTCAATTGTCTGTGGACAGTTCTCTTCGGCTGGTGGCTGAGTGCCGCTGCCCTCATTGGAGCCCTGATCTGCTATCTATTTGCCTTCGACTCTAGCGCGGTCGCGTACGGCAGAGTATTCCTGGGCCTGGCCAGCTACCTGTTTTGGCCTTTCGGCAAGTTCGTCAGGCTCGAGCAAGACGAAAACTATGTGGAGGAAGACGAAGGCGAAGGTCGAAGCATTAGCGAGTACGAACGATGGCAGAGCGGAGATCTCGAGTATGGGCGACTCATGTTCGGACCTACTCTCACCCACACCGGGTCCATCGTTGGACGACATCGGAACAGTGTAGACTCTGCCAGTGAAAACGACAGCTTGCTGGACCGCGGCGCGAGGGCGGACAGACACGACACCAGTGTCAGCGCCAAATCCAAGCGGCGACTCTTTGGGCGTGGCCAGTGGACCTTGGGCCGGGTCATCTTCTTCATCTTCTACTATTTCAACGTCGCTCCGTTGATGCTGCTGGTGTCGCTGATATGCTGGTTGATGGTTTTCTGGATTCCCATGGGTCGTGTCACCTTGATCCTCTTCTACCACCTCCGGAAGCGCCCACTCGCTCTGACTTTCCATCGTGACGTTTCGCACGCTAGGAGCTCGACGAAACCCACGTCGATCCTTCTCTGTACCTACAGAGCGGTCGGTATCAAATACTGGAAGTACACCATCGATGGAACCAACATCTTCCTCATCAACTTCCTGGCAGTTGTCGCTTTTGTCATCTTCGACTACTTCGTCCTGAAGGTGGCCGGCGGCTTGGATTTCTGGCTCACGAGCCCAGCTCTCATGTTCACGTTGGCACTCATCTCCATCATCCCACTGGCATATTTCATCGGCCAGGCAGTTGCATCGATTTCAGCTCAGTCGTCCATGGGAATGGGAGCCGCGGTCAACGCATTTTTCTCGACCGTTGTTGAAGTGTACCTTTACTGCATTGCCCTCAACGAGGGGAAAGCTTCTCTGGTGGAGGGGAGTATTATTGGCAGCATTCTCGCGGGAATTCTGTTACTTCCCGGGCTGTCGATGTGCTTTGGTGCGATCAAGCGGAAGACCCAACGGTTTAACGTCAGGTCTGCCAGCGCCACTTCGACCATGTTGCTGTTCGCTGTTATAGCAGCATTCGGCCCTACTCTCTTCTACAAGATATACGGGAGTCATGAGCTAATCTGTCGGACATGCACGGCAGGCGGTATGGAGGCCCCTAGAGATTGCCGACAGTGCTACTTTCGTCAGGTTCCTGCAGTCACAGACGATTTCTTCGTCAAGGCGGTGCGGCCCTACTGCTGGATCGCTGCCATCCTCCTCTTCTCGTCCTACATCATTGGCCTGCTCTTCACTTTGCGGACTCATGCCGCTATCATCTGGAGCACCGATGACGAAAAGAAACCGCAAGCTCCCCCCACGGCTGATGTGAGCCCACTGGATACTCGACACCAAAGCATTGTCAATTCACAGACTCTGAGCAAGCCCGACGGATATTTACCTAGATCTGCTATCAGAGAGTCTCAGCTGTACAGGAAGATCCTGGGTCAGTCTCTACGGTCAGCTGGTCTTCCAGACGGCGACACCAACATCGATAGAGATGGCTCTGGGGCCCACGAAACGGCATCGCAAATCTCGGCAGTCGACCATCAGAACAAGGGTGACTTGCCTCATCTTGTCCCCCCGCGATCGAGTCACGGACCCGAAGAGACACGTAGTCCCTCCCTGCATCCCGTAGTTCCCGGGCTGTCGGAGGAAGACAACAATAACCTTGTGCGCCAGGTGGCAGAACTGGCGGCCACTGCGGCTACCATCGCGACTCGGGATGCCGTCAATCACCCGAACCGTGCGTCGTACCAAGCAACACACGCCTACAAAACAGATCCCGTGAAAGGTCACAAACCTTCGGTAGTTCGCAGAGATACCGTGGGAGACGAAGGCTACGCGAATGCCGCAGCGGAGCAAGCTGCGCAACCAGCGGCAGAAGGTGGTGGGCATGATGCTCCCAATTGGTCCCGGGCGAAGTCCTCCATCATTCTTCTCACGGCAACGATCGCTTACGCCATTGTGGCAGAGATCCTGGTCGACACCGTTGACGTTGTCCTCGATTCTGTGGACATTGACGAGAAATTCCTTGGCATCACCCTCTTTGCGCTCGTACCAAATACAACCGAATTTCTGAATGGCATATCGTTTGCGATGAACGGCAACATCGCCCTCAGCATGGAGATAGGCTCGGCGTACGCGTTGCAGGTGTGCTTGCTTCAGCTCCCTGCTCTTGTCCTGTTTACGGCATTGCGTTGGCAATTCATCGACCCCAGCGGATTGATAGACCACACCTTCAATCTGATCTTCCCTCAGTGGGACATGGTGACGATCATTCTTTGCGTCTTCCTGCTCAGCTACATGTCAGGAGAAGGCAAGAGCAATTACTTTAAAGGCAGCATTCTGGTCATGACCTACCTGGTGGTGGTCTTAGGCTTCTACTTCTCTGGCTTCACGAGCATGACAGACATGGGCGCCGATCCGAACGATACACTGGCCATCATGTCTAGCATGGCGTGGCAGCAACAGCATGTGCCTGGAGGAGTCACCACCACCCGGACCATCAGCAGGAGGGAACTGTAAATGCATCTTGTGCAAGGTTTTGGTGGAAAGGAATAGCACAGTCGATAAATCCGCTGTAGGGCCGTGCATCCTTTGTTTTGGCTCAGCGATGGCGTTTCAATACAGGTTCGCTTAATGTACATTGATAATTGACAGTTTGGACAGAGATGGTCGATTCTTGCACGAAAGACTCTCGATAATTTCGGTCACTACCGCCGCTGCCTCTAGTCTGCTTGGTGCTGAAGGAGAGCGAGTGATGTGACTCTCCTGACGCGATGCCATTTAACGTGACGCCACATTCAGACCGCCTCTCATCTGATGACCCTTGACTTCCTTCCTTTTGATTTGACTCGATCGAACTCATTTTCAGCCTGAAAGGATGTGTGTGTGTGTGTGTGTGTGTGTGTGTGTGTCCGGTCCGGCGCAGTGACGCGACGCCGACTTGCTTGACGTACATTTCTATATGTATACGTACATAGACAGTGCCGTCTCCTCGGTCATGGGTCCGCCTCCCGCCTCCTTGGTCAAGGGTCCCCGCGTGTCCGCATTTTGTCGACAAGTATGATTGTTCACCGATCACACACCACACACACACACACACACACACACACACACACACACACACACACACACACACACACACACTCACTCACTCACTCACGCAGAACTGGACTTGACGGTGGCATAAAGGTAGCTTGGTCTATCGTTATAATACTGACTAGTATTGAAGCGGCAACGAATTGAGCTGTATTTCCAGGCTGCATGTGGAATACTCGAGCCTGTTCTCTCCCATGAATTCCCATGTGGACTGTCGAACCCATCCGCGCGCTCCCCCTGAGAGGGCTATATACTGATTTGATTGATGATCTGTTGATTTCGTGTGGTCGGTCCTGCCCCACCCTGCCCACTCTGCCCTACTGGGTAGGGGGTGGAAGGTTGTCGAACTTGAGGGGAAAAGGACATGGCCACGATAAAACGGACACGTCTTCTTCGTCATGCTTCTTAACGAGGAATGGTCCAGCCTCTTCATACAGTGAGCATCACTGCACGCACATACAAGGGACAATACCACAGCCGCGGGTCAAATTCCAGTGGTGTGTTGTTGTCGAACGTAGATAATGGTCGCTTTGACAGGGAGACTCGAGAGAGTAAGAGGGACAAGCCTAGAATTGAGGTGAGAAAGTTGAATTGTGAGTTGTGGTGGATTGAGCTGGGTGCTGAGTGTTGGACATTACAACTCGTATGGGAGGACTCCGTCGCTTAACTTGGTGGAGAGACGTAGGGTCGAGCAGAAGATGAATCACTGCCACATGCCGTGAAGGCCCTGTTGTCAAGGTTGGAGGAGGAACACATCCCATATCAGTAGAGTTCTCTTGTCCTTCTCCCGCCGCGATGCCTGGTGTGATATCAGCTTTGTAGTTGCAGCAGGGGGCAACCAACTCCTTCTGGGAAGAGCGGCGGTGGAGTAGATGAATTCATCAGAGACTCACATGCACCAATCGCACTGTCGAAGTCGGTGGTCAGCCGGAGACTCGAAAACGTATGACTGACACCCAGGAAAGGAAACACACACTTACATTCTTCTCGTCACAGCCAGTGTTGTGGACGAAACAATAGCTGCCTTTACATAGTCTGCAGGTCTTGGCCCATTGCTGTGTGCAATCCTGGCATTGCCGGCCGCATTCCCAGCAATTCAGAGTCACGGCCGCCTGTCCGGGCTTCAGGCTCAGGAGGGTGGGGTGGAGCTGCGTGCGAGAGCAAAGAGACGGCGTTAGCGCTTCCATGTTACACGACGAACAGACGGGGTGGGAGGCAGAGTCGTTGAATGGGTGGTGAAAGGGATTTGGGATCTGTCGGCGTCCGGGCTGGCGGCGTCCTCGTCTCGATGGCGGCTTGGGGATCATTAACGGTCCAATCTTGGGCTTCGAACACCGTCCAGTCGATTGTGCGAATGGCGGCTTTCGTATTCCTCGATGCGATCCCTGACTATCCCCACATTCCGCCACCTCCAGCTCCAGCCATCCATTCGCCGACAAGGCAATTTTCAACACAAAGACCATTAAATACCTTAACACGGTCGCCCTCGCTGGATCCTCCTTTGATTGCATTGGCGGGCAAGAAGCCAGCCGATGTGGTGGAGAGCCGTTCTATATCTGTGATAAGCTGCCTTGACAACTTGGGGTTGTAGCAATCGGCGCACCACCATCGGTGGCAGCTATCGCAATGCCGGTTGGTGAGACACCAGGTGCACGAGACAATCAATCTAGCAAGAAGGATCTGTCCGTCCTCGGTAAAGCATGGTGGAGGTCGGACTGCGTCGATAAGTTTCCCGGAACGCGGTGGAGGCCAGAGAAGAGGAAAGTCTCGTATCTCGCTCTCGCCCCAAACCGGTGCGCCATGAGGGTTCCTTCCACAGCCGGCACACCCTGTAGGGCCAAGGGCAACGGTCGCTAGAGGGGGGATGCCCGGTTTGTTCTTTGACAAGTAGTCTCGGGAAGCGACGTGGAGCACAGGTGCCATATCGGCATGCATGTGACTACACAGGACAGCGTCAAAGCTAATGATGCCTTTGCATGTCTGTAGGGTCTCTTCCCAGGAGCTCCGCTGTGCGTGGCCCTGGGATATGACCTGGCCACTGGCGGCATACCATGGTTCCACGACACGTGAGCCACTGGCGCAGTTTGTCTTGTGTTGGGCTCCCGGCTGAGCGCCGTGATATCCTAAGACACCCATTGTGTCAAGATTGTAGTGGAAGGCATGAACATAATCGAAGGGCTCCGGAGTCGGTGATATTGGTGGCGTGAAAACATAGAGACCTTGCAAACGAGGAGTGCCCTCCGGTCTGCCTGGCCGACACAGGTGGCACAGAAGTTGCTGGAGTTTGGGCTGGTTGATGTTGAGACACCGCCGGATGCTGAGCAAGCGCACGTCGTACTCGGGGGCGGTGACGATGTCGTTGATCAGGTCGACGGTAACAGAGGCGAGGTCGTCCAGGACCAGAGTGTGGACGCCCTGCAGCACGTGCATCCGTCTCAACTTCCCCAACACGCCGCGGAGTGGTCCGGCGTAGAACTCGTCTTCGGTAAGGTGCTCATCCATACGCTCTGCCCGCCAAGAGTGGCCGCCGGAGTCTATCCTGGTCAGAAGATTTGGCGGCACATACGCTCCCCGGCATTTCGACAAATCAACATATCGGAAAGCTCTTGGCGCATTCAACACTAAATCTCGCAGAGCGTGTGATGTCCTAGCCAAGGCGAAGGTGCTTGACAAGGATAGATAGGGGAGGATACCGTCCAGAATGATCGAGTTCGACAGAATGTCGAGGAGGGAGAGGCGTAATTGATTTGTGGTGGATGGGACGTCGTCGACCATAGCGGACGCTTAATGGATGAAGCGCGTCTGCGTAGCGAGGAGAGGTGTAAAGGCAGTAGAGCGTGATCCGATCTGAACGCTCGATGGAAAGGATGAAGAAAGGAGAGGCAGAAGAGAGGGGAGACAGGATCTCGGTGCTTATGAAGCAGGTTTGAGGATGTGTTGAGAGTGATGGCGAGTTTCCTCACCATTCACTCACTTGACGGTGAGATGATTCAGACGCCCAGACGCCCAGATGCAGATCTCCACCATTCCGGATCTGGATCTCCGCTGGTTGCCGTTGCGGAATCTGGAATCTGGACTCTTCCTCCCCCTTTACGTGGGATGCGGTGGGCCGAGACTCCGTTCAATGGATAGATTATTGAACTGCCCTCATTCAATCTCTAATAGAATCACCATGTCTACTAGAACTCGTCTACTTTACGACTCTTGACCGCGTTCTATCGTTATTCATAACCATACGTGCATTATATCTGAGGTGTAACGATCGTCTTCCTGAGCAGCTCATTCCTTTGGCCTCCTTCATTTCATAATCGACTCCGACATGCAGGCATCCGCTGTTAGGGCAAAACGCCATCCTCCCGCTCGACCAGTTGCCTCAGATTCATTGCGCCTTCTTCGCCTTTTCGGTCCCCAGATCCATGAGTTCAATCATTCCCAAACCGACACGCTCGCTTTCAGCCCAGCTTCGCTGCCGGAGCCAAAATCTTTCGGTTGCGCCTTCCACGCCACCACTGGTCGAGGTGCTCTGATTCCGTGCGTCTTCTTCAAGACTCTGTCTCGTGATGCTGGCAAAGGCTTGTTCTCCCGACTCAGTCTTCAGCGGGCTGTTGGGGGGTGAGGCGATTGGTTGGACAGCATGCCCTAGCCCGGCATCTTCCAGATACTTGCGACGTACCATGAACCGTTCGCTACGCTCTTTGCGCATGGCCGCTGAATCAAGCTTGCTTATTGCGGTCCGTACCAGCACACGCACCACGAGGAATATGTGTTCCGACAGGAAAACGCTAAGCAACAACGCCCACAGCTTGATTTGGTGTGGCCGGCCATCCGGACCGTGCCCATCGCCACCAGAGAACATATACACCAGAGCGGCGGATGTAATGCTCCCTAGCCAAGCAAGGAATTCGAGACTGTCCAGCCACGGGCCAATGCTGTCGGCGCGGGCGGGGTTGGGTCGGCGGCACTCAACGGCCAATTTAAACGTGTCCCCGCGTAGCTCGATCCAGTTGTTGATAAAGTACGAGACCGGTGTGAGGGGCCAGATGACACTGAAGCAGGAGAGGTAGCCAAACTGGATACACATCTCGCGCAGATCGGACGTCACATCGTACTCGGGCAACGCAGCCTCCTCACGCACTCGAGCAAGAAACTCCTTCTCTTCGGGCGGATCGTGGTCAGCAACCGACGGCGTAGCACCACCATGCTTCTCTGCACGTTGAGATTGCATTTCCTTGAATTTCTTGGTACCTCGCTGCGTGACCACTGGCATGACCGTTTCCATGGCGAAGTTGACAACCTGCGCCGTCACTGCAAAGTAGATCATCTGGTTGCGTAACCGGTTGGGGTTGATGCTGAACGTGGCGGGTGACGGTGTTTGAAGCTGCTTCTCGTCCTCGGCAAAAGGCCTGACGGTCATGCTGAAGACGTCCAAATAAGGCACCAGGATCGAGGCGAAAGGGACGTAGACGAATGACGTGAGGAAGATTGCCGTATAAGAGGTAATGAAGTTGATGACAAAAACCTTGGAGATCATGGCCTTGTCGTGGGCGTCTTGTGTTTCGTAGTTCTCGTAGAACGTGAGCTTCTCGGCAAACCCAGTGAGGAAATTGCTCATGGTGGGGACAGCCAGAGTGAGCAGGATTGTAGGAAGGAAGACGAGGATGGACTTGAGCGGGCCGTCATACACCTCTGAGATGAAGATCTCAATGGCGTAACAGGTGCATATGATAGCTCCAAGGCCCACAACACACAAGGCTGCCAAAGGTAGTTGGAGGAGCTGCCTCTGGAGTCTCTTCTTGGCTGGAAAGAACCATATCTGCTCACCCGTCACAGGATCGGTGGTAACCTTCTCAGGTGCAAATTCCCTCCTCTTGTCTTCAATTAGCGAAACGTTCTTCACGTTCCAGCGAATGGCCAGTTCCTGCTCTTGTCGCTTCCAGTATTCGACAAATACCACACACCACAGGCCATTGACGATTGCGTAGATGGGAGAGAAGTTGCCCAGGAGAACCCAGCAAGAGAAGCCGAAAGCGGCAGGGAAGATCATAAAGGAGAAGTAGGATTGGAGGAATGCGTAATAGTAGGCAATCTGGATACGGCATCAGTTTGCGTTCCACTACGTGCGTCGTAGATCTCACCTTCTCGCCAACAGTGTTTCTGATTTCGTCTAGATCATCTGGAGTCAGAAATGTCTTCCGCGTGAACTCGGTCAGCCACTTCTTGTTCTTGACGTGGTCGTGCAGCGGGAAGACAGCTTCGACGTTCTTCCATTCTCCGTGTTTTGGAGTTATGCCAGCGCCACCTTCTTCCCGAGGACAGCATATCATGTGGTGTATATGTCGAAGTCTCTCGGCGTCGGTCAGGGGCTCGGAGGTGAGGATGTTGGCCACATCGTTGGAAGGCTGGATCTGTCGCACTCCATGCAGCCAGTCTTTGATTCTCGACCTATGTACCACGTCGGCAAGTATCTTCTCGTCTGAAGCCTTGACGAAGACAAGGAGGGATGTTTCATCGCCGCGTCGGACTTCGGTGGTCAATCCAGTCTCGGCCATTGCTCGAATGAGCTTTCTGAACTGTGTGATGCCAGCTTCCTTGTCTGTAAACGCTCAGTATCGGATCAAAGAGTATAGTCAGTGGGAGCCAACCTTCATCCTTGGGCATGCGGTAGCTGATAACATAGTCTACGTCGAAATTCGTCTGTAATGTCTTGTGCGCCATCTTGATAGCTGAGGAGAAAGCGAGTCAACGGCCAAAGGGAAGGAGCAAAAGTTCTGCTCTTCACAGTGACCCCAGCACAGGTCAGTACGGGCACGGGAGGTGAGGTGAACGAGCGAGAAACCAAGGTGAAGAAACTTGGAAGTGCGGTTGTGCAGCTTCAACACGAACATTTGATCATCGGCTGGAACGCGACGACGTCATCCAGATCTGCTTCACTCCCAGACAGGTCTAGGCTTGGTCTTTCTGGACGGAGGGGGCTCGCTCGGTAATCGACCAATCGGCTAAGAATTCTCTGTTCCCGTAGCGCTCGAAAGCTGTGATCACGTGACACCGTACGATTCCTGGACCTCGGTATCAAACGTTCAACAAGCTACTCCGTACTCTGACACGATATCTCATCTCCCAGTCATACATATTACCCACGGCTATCCAAATTCCCAGAGTGAAATAATACTGCAAAGTTGCTCTGGCTTGTCTCATCGCTGCTCTATATGTCTCCCCTTCTGCCTCTGCCGTGCAACAACTGAGCCAAGCAAGTACAGACGACAACTCATAAAACGGCCATGGCGAAAGAAGAGGAGGCAGCAAAGCTGAATCAACCGTACACAGAACCCGACCCGAACAACTATTCTGCATATCAACGGGAGATCTACTCCTCCCTCCGAGCACCTATATTCTCAACCAAACCGTCTGAATGGGAGGCTCTAGCCCGTGCCAAGGTTCCGGCCAGTAACTTTGGTTATGTCTACGGCTCGGCCTCCAGCGGCAGCACCCACGCAGCCAACATTGCTGCTTTTGATCGGTACCGAATCCGACCTCACATGCTGGTCAATGCGACGCGGCGAGACATGAGCATCGAGCTATTCGGCAAGAAGTACAACAGCCCGCTTCTGTTAGCACCAGTTGGTGTCCAAAAGATCATGCACGAAGACGCCGAAGAGGCCACCGCCCGGGCTTGTGAAAAGGTAAGATCCTCTTATGCCCGCGTCGTGCTGACTGAGACGGTTGAGATCGACTGGTTGAACCCGCCCTGGGAGGCAGTGTCAGGTCGGACGACTGATGTCTTTGGGGAAATACTAGGTCGGAATTCCAATGATTCTCTCATCAGCCGCTACACGGACTATCGAGCAGGTGGCAGAATCGAACGGGAGCGGGGCGCGCTGGTATCAGCTATACTGGCCGCGCCCGCAATGGGAAGACGTCACAGTCAGCTTGCTCAATCGAGCAAAAGCCAACGGTTACACGGTGCTGGTGGTCACTCTCGACACGTTCAACTTGGCCTGGAGGCCGACAGATCTCGACACATCCTACCTACCTTTCATCTGGGGCGACGGATGTCAAATCGGCCACTCCGACCCGGTATTCAACGCAAGGTACGAGGAAATCCAAAGGAACGATACAAGGAGTTACGGGGAAAAACTCGCCGAACTATGGGCCACACTGAGAAGGCCCGGCTCCGTCTATGGTGCAGCTAAAGTGCTGACCAACGTGTCCCTGCTTCAGAAGTCAAGAGCCTGGCTAGATGTCCTGAACTCGGGAACATACCGAGAATGGAAGCATCTAGAGATCCTGAAGAAGCTGTGGGACGGCCCGATTGTTCTCAAAGGGATCCAGACCGTCGATGACGCCCACCGAGCAATCGACCACGGCATGGATGGCATCATTGTCAGCAACCACGGCGGAAGACAATGCGACGGTGCCATTGCCTCGCTTGACGCTCTCGCCGAAATCGCTGCCGACGAAAAGGTCAAACGATCCAATCTCACCCTCATCTTCGACAGTGGCATTCGCACGGGAAGCGATGCGTTGAAAGCACTGGCATTGGGTGCCAAAGCCGTCTGTATCGGCCGGCCCTTCATGTATGGCCTCGCCATTCGAGGCCAGCAAGGCGTGGAGCACGTCTTAAGGTGCTTGCTAGCCGACACCGACAATATGCTAGGTAACATGGGCAAGAAGAGCGTCAAGGATCTCAGCAGGCACGACCTACAGATTAGACCAGAGTCAAAGCTCTAGAATTGCAGTAATCGCTATATGGAGGCGCTCCCAACGACGGCCGTCAC